ATAACATATTTTTGTTATCATTCTTTTCTATCCATTATACATATATCAACATTTAAATACTAAGACGGACAATAAATTTATTAATTATCTTTTACATAGTCAATTTTAACCACATAATGAGCAGGTACAGGTAAGTATAGGTACTTAGGAAGCAGTTTACTACGTAGTTACTTAGTGTTGCATCAAATACTTAAACAATGTTTCCGTCTGTCTTAAGCATTTTATAGTCATCCGTTTTTTTCCCACAGTCATATAATTATGAAGATATGACAATAAAACATGCAAATCATATTTATATAGTAAAAAACTGCAATAAGATGTATATAATAAAAGTTGTGAGTAAATAATAGTGTATGACACATTATACTGATGAATACATTGGCATTTGTGGTTTAATTATCCCATCCTGTCCAACATATCGTCTTTTCAATTGTTTACAATATTAAATCATCTCACACTACCTTTAAGAAACTTGATATAAAATATAAAGTGTTTATAATAATTGCAGGTTGTTCGTAGTTCATAATAATTGTTTTAATGAGCGTCAACTAAGTGTAAAAATTACAAAATCTTTTGTCTCTTTCAGAACATGCAGGATATTTATATACCTATATGTATCCTGCAGATAACCTTATAACAGTTTCATAATACATATATTATTTTAATAGTTTTGTGTGCTTATTTATATATCTATGTTATTTATATTCCTTCACTAATAAATATACATTATTATTAAAAACAATTCACAAAATATTCATTATTAAAAATTTAAAATATTTTACAAAAAATATCTCTATTTCCTGAAGTTATATAATATTTCAAGTTGTCTTATTTTCAGGGTCGTGATACATAGTCTAAATTTCAATTTGTTTTTTAAATTAGCGATTTTATGTTAACGTGTATCGGTACATATTGCATATATAAATGTAAAGTGGCGTAAAAGAAAAAAATACGCCTAATCATGACTGGTTAAAGTTTCAGTATATGTAGGTAATTACTGTATGTGTAATATTTTTACCTACACACTTAAGTAAACATTTTTATGTAAATTATTAATCGACATTAGTAAAATCCTGATGTAAATGAATTGTAACGATTAGAGTATGTAGGACGATGTTAGGAAAACAAAATTTTTCCTTATACATTTTTTCCATAGATAATATTACAATTACTTACTACATAACAAAAAATGTTGTGCAACTGTCATTTGTTCTAGATTCGTACGAATTGTTAGTATAATTAGTGAACGGGTACTTATTCTCTTAAGGTCATTTAAGATGCTACACGGCAATAATATCTCTAAAATATTTCATAAATCAATATCTACTAAGGAATCACTTATTTTCATTTGTGCATTTATAATATTTGTGCATTAAAATGAATAAGGGAGAGGACCCCTTTACTTATTTTTATATATACCATATCTTTATTTGAAATACAGATTTTCAATACTATATAGACTCTCTAATAATAGGACGTCGTTAGTTGTCAGTAAAACTCTTTTTCGGAAAATATATTTCTTGGATGTTCGATCAGAAGATAATATATAACATTCAGATTTGTCGCATCTGAGAGCGGTATCAATTCAAATCCTCGGTCCTATTTTGAAGATACGATATTTTACTTCAATTTATTTCGCATATGTATGTGTATATTTCCAGACAGGTAGAACCTAGCTGTGGTCGAGTTACTACAACTTGAACGTGGTCTCGCTCTACCGGGGATTCACCACCCTCTCACAGAAGATCGGCTTGAAATAAGTATATATTCTTTATGGCTGCGTCTTGTCCACCGAGTAAGTGAGCTGGTTGCACTTTCCTTGTTCCCACTCTTTACTGTCCTCTCCCTATTCCTACCCTTTCTCCTTCCTCAACTATCAAGTCAGGCGAAGCATCCGTAATATGTCTTATCTTGCAGATGCCCATACTACTACCCATCAAGCACGCCGACTGTTCGTAATCCACCTTTCACATTAAAAAAAAAAAACCAAATATTTTAACAAATTTTCAGACAATTAATATTCAACAATATTCAATTCAACTATTATCATTCAGAACTTACTAGGTTCTTCTCTATACCTAGTCTTAATTTATTGCTCCAACCCAAAAATATATTCTATTCACGTATCTACATACCAGCAGTATATTCGTTGGTAGCCATAATAACAGACAAACGTTTTCTATCATATAAAATAAATCATAGAAAGTATATCTTTAAATTTATTAATAGGTACACTTTTTATCGATTCTGTTTTTACGATGATTGTTTTCTCTTGAAATGTTAGGTTGACATTAAAACATTGCATATTGCAATATTATATAATTGCTCTGCATATTTACGCCGTAGTAAACGTAATCACGTTTATTATTAAGTGCTAATTAATAATATATACAATGTGAGAGTGACGAAAATATAAGTACAAATAAAATTATTGTCATAAAATTGATATAACAATATTATTAATATAAAACACCTAATATTTGTAATAATTATATTTACAACTTGTCATCTATTCCATAACAATGATTTAAAAAATAAGAAAGCAATACTTTATACGTAATAATAAGTTTTTTAAATTTTATTGATAAAATAGAACGCAATTCCACAAAACGACCTTGAAGATCTACATAATATACTTTAAGTAAGAATTAAAAACACTGCTTGAGATTATGTCTACGTTAGTTTAATATACATTTACATATAATATTAATAACTCAAAAGTGCTCCAACTAGACATATCCGGTTTATACAGAAATTTAACTTTCGTGTGTAGTTCTGTAAAGAAATAGTTTGACTCCGAAAATTTAAATAACTTATTGACTACAAATGCTTATATAAAACAAATATTTAAAACACTATAAAGTTATTTATGTAAAAGCCAAAAGGACAACGTTTTTAACTTATAGGTCTACTTTTATAAGTAATTGGAGCAGCATTTTTTTCGCTTAGTTTTTAATCATGTTTATCTGTCTGTCACGGTCGATGTTATCAATATAGTTAGCACAATTTTGTATCGTCAAACGTAACGTTTGTCGTTTCTGATTCAATAACCTAAATTATTACTATAATGTGCGAAGGTATATCAATGAAAAAGCGTGACGATACAAAACTGGTACTAAGTTTTTAGGGGTGGTAGAGCCTAGCTGTGGTCAAGTTACTGCAGCTCGAACATGGGCTGGCTCCACTGGACTAGAGACTGGCTTTCCTACTCTTTTCCCTTTCCCTCAATTTTCCACTTTTCCCTCCCCATCTTCCCTAATCAAGGGTGGCGACACATCCGCGACATAAAAAATGTTGCGAATGTCGTTGGGCGACGGTACCACCTCCATCTTGTAAGCCGTCTGCTCGGTAGCCCCCATAGAAAAGAGTATGCAAAAGTTAATATACCAATAGTTTCCTTTAGACTTGTATGAATATTCCACATAGCTACTTAAACTTTTGTAAAATATGTTTAATTTAGTTCATTCGAGTTTGGTTACAGCAAAACTAGGGAATATAATATTTATTATCTAAAAAATTTACGTTTTATCTCATTCTTTTTTCGATCAATAATCAGTTTTGGGTGAAAATACAATCAAATATCAATTATTATCATTGATTAAGGAATGTTGCTTTTGTATTGATAAAATAAATCCGTTATATTTTAATTTTATAACAATCGTAACGTCTTCATATGGGGCACTGTGTGGACGGCTTTATGTTATCGATATAAAATTTATTTTATCAAAATATTGTGAGTTTGAACTTTATCAGGTATTAACTTTTATCACTAGCTTCATGATTTTTTCGACTCGGCTGTTGCTTTTAGCCCTAATGGTTTTGACGTCACCTGGGCAGATGAGGCTTCCGAATGTAGTCACTTCCTGAAATTGTGGTGGTGTATGCTCCTTCTAAAAATGCCTTTAGGAGTAATAGTAGCTTCATGTGGGATCGATATAAAGTGATCGATTTAGATCGGCTTAAAGAGCAATTAAAAAATAATTATCTATAAAAGGACTCATGAATTCAAAAAATATTTTTTTTCCCATTACTTTATAACTAGTAAAATGTGCGTTATATTTATTCAAACTGTTTAAAATACATATCCTCTCTAGCAATATGATAAGTAAATGGTTGATATATGTATCTAATTATAGTGTTACATATGTATTCAGTTGAGTGTTATTATATTTTTATCTCATTGTCTTATTAAATCTGATGTGTTATCTGCGACAGGCAATTGCAATTCCTTGAAATAGAAGTGTTCCATAATTATAACATTGTTTCAAGTAATGACATGGAATAGAAGTATTCTTCTAAATGAATGCTACATATTACGACTTATGGTACCTACTTTTTCATCATAATATCATTATTAAAACATTAGGCTTAATATTTCCCATGTATTGATTTTAAATCGTACATTTAAAAAAAACTTTTTGAAATTTTGATTCTAACCAAGCTAAATAACTATTATAAGAAAATGAAACTCTTTCTTAATAAATCAAAATATTAAAAATATATATTTTTAGACGATAAGTAAATAAAACAAGAACACACATATTTTAGGGACATGGATTGTGCATTTGACATTTGTCGAGGTCACTATAATAGTGTCATGATGAAAAAGAAGCCATAGTATTATCAAACATAACAAATATAGTGTTATGATGTAGACAACCAACTGGTTTGGTACATAAGTCTTGATCGTTTCTATTCAACAAAATTACTAACAGTGTAATAAAAGTATATCTCGAATATTCCATATTAAAGATTTGAAATCTACAAAGTAATAATATTTAATGTCAAATATCAACGGCGTTCCCGGGTGACATGTTATTTTCGTCTTTATGAAATATTTACTTATATATACGAATTGAACTACCACTTAACATAAGGACCGATAGTTGTTGTTTATCGCTACGGACTCTATATAAGCCAGTGAGTGTGGTTTTACTTTAGTCTGTTGAATGGTGTGCGTCCAGTGAGTCGCTATCGCGCATAATATTAACAAAAACAAAATGGCTTCACGAGACGCTGCTTCCGACCAACTTGTAAACTTCAAGAAATCCGTCAAGGTAGGGTATACTCCCTATTACTTCATTCAATGTAGAGCTTTGTTCTAATCTAGCATAGGATAAGGAGACCACCTGAATCATAAAATGTGTGTGTGTATGTGTTTGTCATAAGAATGTGGTTCATCCACAGTATTTGTCTTTTAAATTATTACAATAGAAATTAAAAGAAATAAAAATCAGTTGCCTTACATTTGCATGTAGACAATACATTGATACAATTTTTATTTGCATTATTTGTTCATAAGTTATTACTATGACCAATTTGAACTTTGATACTCTCTATCATTAATTATGTTGTAATTAGAATTTATAATACACATTTGCAAAGCAAAAGATGGATTTGTGCTATTGATTGCAACCACAAATGATGTCATGAATACTCTGTTATGAAACTATTTTTAATTTTAACTTGCTTTTGTATAATGTATATAGTGCACTGCGATATCATGATTACTTAGTTGAATTTAATATAATATTTGTCCTCTTTTAAAACCTTTATGTATTTTTTATGTTAAACATTTTCAGGATTCTCCTGGCTATATGACTACAAAGTATGGTACACCAATTGGAGTCAAGACTGCCATTCAAACTGTTGGTAAAAATGGACCTGCCTTACTTCAAGATGCACAGTTCCTAGATGAAATATCATCTTTTGATAGAGAACGCATTCCTGAAAGAGTTGTTCATGCCAAGGGAGCTGGAGCTTTCGGTTATTTTGAAGTTACCCATGATATTTCAAAATATTCTGCTGCCAAGGTTTTCGAGAACATTGGCAAGAAAACACCTATTGCAGTCAGGTTCTCTACTGTAGGTGGTGAGAGTGGATCAGCTGACACTGTCAGAGATCCCCGTGGATTTGCTGTCAAATTCTACACTGATGATGGTATCTGGGACCTTGTTGGTAACAACACTCCAATTTTCTTCATTAGGGATCCAACTCTGTTCCCTAGCTTTATTCACACACAGAAGAGAAATCCTGCTACCCACTTAAAAGATGCCGATATGTTCTGGGACTTCATGACTTTAAGACCTGAAACCATGCACCAATTGGTGTACTTGTTTGGGGACAGAGGTATTCCTGATGGTTATAGATTCATGAATGGTTATGGATCTCATACCTTTAAACTTGTAAACGCTCAAGGAGTTGCTCACTGGGTTAAATTCCACTACAAATCTAACCAAGGAATCAAGAACTTGCCTGTGGATAAAGCGGCCGAATTAGCTTCCTCTGATCCTGACTATTCTATTAGAGATTTATACAATGCAATTGGTAAAGGAGAATTCCCAACATGGACTCTATACATTCAAGTCATGACAATGGCACAAGGAGAAAACTGCAAATTTAATCCATTCGACCTTACTAAAGTCTGGCCCCATTCAGAGTACCCACTGATCCCTGTAGGAAAACTGGTGCTTGATAGAAACCCTAAAAACTATTTTGCTGAAGTTGAACAAATTGCCTTCAGCCCATCCAACCTGGTACCAGGAATTGAACCATCTCCTGATAAAATGTTGCAGGGACGCTTGTTTGCCTACAGTGACACTCACCGTCACCGTCTTGGAGCCAATTTCCTCCAGATTCCTGTTAACTGCCCATACAGAGTAACTGTTGCCAACTATCAGCGAGATGGACCTCAAAACATGTGCAACCAGGATGGTGCTCCTAACTACTTCCCAAATTCATTCTCTGGACCCCAAGAATGCCCACGTTCTCAACGTCTCCAACCAAGATACAATCTCAGCGGTGATGTCGACCGTTATGACAGTGGTCAGACTGAAGACAACTTCTCCCAGGCTACCGCTTTATACAAACAAGTCTTTAGTGATGATGAAAAAGCTCGTTGTGTTGCCAATATTGTTGGTAATTTGAAGGATGCTGCAGGATTTATTCAGGAACGTGCCATCAAATTGTTTGTTCAGATAAGCCCTGATTTGGGTAATAAAGTGGCTGCTGGTCTTGCTCCTTACAAAAAATACCATGCCAACTTGTAAATGTAATAATACTATTGAGACTGTTATGGGTGTTGTTTTTTTATATAGTGAGTAAGCATTGTTAACTTTTATAATAATCATGTTGGGAAATATATAAGTACACTCTTTTGAGCATATTTTTGGACATATATTTTTTATCATATTAATAAAATTTTCTTTACAATAAATTTGAGTTTTATTGCACATGTTTTGATTATATTATTGATATCCTGATAAATTGCACACATGGTTAATCAATATGATATCAGATACAAATAACAGTTGACAACCCATCAATTTTTATATTTTGCTAAATCAACCCAAGTTATCAATGCGGAAGAGGTTTAATTATAAATCATTAAGCAAATGTTTACATTTGTTACGTAAAGTTTATAAGAAAAAGTATTTTTAATAGTTCTAAAACAAATGCATTATCTACCTACTATGCGATTTTTTTAATGATAGTAATTAAAATATAACTGGTGTAGGTCAAGGGAAGTAATGTATAATAAAACATGATTACCTCGACGGGCTTACGTTAAAAAGAATGACCGTTGAATGTAGGTTGACAAATATTTTTTTAGTTTTATTATTATCAGACTGATATTTACAGGTTATAAATAATATTAGGCATATAAAGGCAGTTATTATGTCACTAGCTTTAATGTAGCACAAATAGTAAAGACAAAGGAAAGCGTAAGTAGAATATTAAATGGCATATTACATAAAAGGTATCTTAAGGCAAGTAAACTATTTATAGATAAATATCCTTAAAAGTCATCTTAAGTGTTATATGAATATTTTACATATCCATCGAATCTTGTTCACGATTTAAGTTTTTCCAAACATTGTTTAACATGAATGGCGGATTTGTAGGGCAATACAAACTCCAGAATAAAAGCTATTCTTAAAGCTTTTACTAAGTACTTGACTAACCTTGAATTACACATTATTTTTTCCATTACATTCAAGAAAGTAAATTTTCCTAAAAAATTAATTATTCTATGTCAAATATGAAAAAGTTACAATTGAATTTTGACTGCTACCTAAATAGTTTTAGTTGCCAAAAAAGATTAGGATTTTAGCATGTTTTACTTAATTTATAAGAAGTGTCAATAATATATTTTGGTCATAATTTGAAAATTTTCTGCTACCACCTGATAAAAAGGGAAAAATATTAATTGTTAAATTTTGTCGTTTTATGTAAAGTGGATATTGGATATAGATAAATTCTAACATAACATAAAACTACATTTGTGGAAAATATTTACAGAGCCACCTATACTCTCGTTAAAAAAATGCAATAGATTTATAGCTACAGCCATTCTTCAGGTTAAAAAACATTGTCACTAGATGGCCCTTATTATATCTTTACCGTTTAAAATTTTATGTGGAATATTTTTAGTTTCTTTATTAAGTACATAAATCTATTTATAATTTTCCACTGTCAACTATCAGATTTGTAAAACTAGTCCACAAAATTTTTCAAGTAGCTGTATTAATTATTGGAAATTAATTTTAGTTTTTAGATCTAAGATACGACATCCTTATATTTTAATAAAAAGTATCGTCGTTTATAACCTATTTGCTTTTAAGAGATATTGTAAGTGACACGTCTTATAATAATGATGTTTGATTGATGTCTATACCATTTATATTTTTATTGTTTATAATGATATATTTTTAGCGCAGATACAAAATCTTTGTTTTTGGATTTCATGGTATAAAATTTTACTATACACACTGAATGAGGAAAAATTGATTCTTTTGTTATGTCAGATTAAAGATAGCTGTGTAATTGAGTTAACTTTCACATCCAAAAGTAAGTCCTAATTTAAATGGTTTTGCTGTGGTATTGTAAACAAATAAAAATTATATTATCCAGACGATCATTAGGTACACTGTATCCTTTCAGTATGGTGTGTCAACGTTGTCAAAAATCTCTGCGTGGTAATGAAGGTGTTAAATGTGCAGAATGCGAGTCTCGATACCATGTTCGATGCCTCGACGAAAGAAATAGCTTGGAAATGGAGAGTGGAGATAGACGATATCATTGGATATGTGCAACGTGTCAAACCCCCGCCAGCAAAACTAATCTTCAATTTGAGGAACCTCAAATAAATCAACGAGCATTAATAAATGCCATAAATGCTTTAACAGAAAAGTTTGAATTAATGAATAAAATTCAAATACCAAAATTGAGTAATGACTTACTACAAATAAGATGTGTTACAGATAGAATAATTAAACAAAATGAGAGTTTAATATTAAAAGTAGAAGAATTAAAGAGGTGTCGTTGTGAACAGAGAAGTCAAATGAATAATTATCGACGTAGAAATTTGAATCTTTCTCCGAGGCGCACATTGAGCGAGGAACAAATTCCCATTTTGGGCGGTGAAAAAATCCCTAGATACAGAACACGCAGGCGGTCGTATCCGTTGTTAAAAATGTTATTGCAGTTTAACAGAAAACTTAGTAAATACCGAACGCCCAGGAAGAGATAATTTTATAAATAAAATCTTAGGTGTTATTTATTTTAATTACAGTCTTTTTTATTAACCTTTGAAATTATACCATTTTAGTCGGAACTTAACGGATTTAGGTGAGATTATGCTCCTCCAAAAAATTGGATAAAATCTAATTTTGGTTTTCGTTCATTATTGTAGGGAAAAAAAATCATAACGTCACTTAATTCTAATCATATTTTGTTATCGCGTGGTCAACAAACACATACAGGCAAATACAAACTTTTACTTCTATCACCTTAGTCAGAAATTGAATTAGGTTCCAGACTGCCAGGGAATGTTTCCGTTTGTATCCACATGTCGTAAATACAGGAGGCGTTACCTTATTCGCATTATTTGGGACGTTGTAGTAGGTATACTATTATATTCATTTTGCAAATGAATTGAATACCATACAGAATTCTCAGTCTCAAACAATTTGTAGTGTAACAAGTTGTAGTATAGTAATTTTGATAATGTATTGAATTCCGCATAGAACACTGAGTTCCTAACAAGGAAGTACACTGCATTAGCAAGGAATATTCACATTCACTCATGGAATACTATAAACTAAATATTTAGCATATATCTATGTTATTATGTAATATAATAGACGTAGGAAGAGGCCATCCCTATTTTTATTAGTAAATATCATGACTTTAAAATTTCTCTGTAGATTTGTATTCAATACATATTCCTTTTTAAGAATGTAGAAAGTTAATCATACAAGGTTTTGAAATTATTGGGTATAGTTTTTAGGAATTAGTTTTCTGCTAGAGCATAATTCATAGATAAAGTTGAAAGTAAAGAAGAAAATGCCAGTAGTTTGATGATTTGAAACATTTTTGAGAGAACAATCTTTAGAAAACATACATTTATTTAGATGTAAAGGTTTTAGATTTAAATTATTGGCTGAACTGTAGGAATACATTTTCATAATGAAAATGTTTTAAACTCTTGCAAATTCGTTTTTAAAGAACTGAAATTTTACTGAGAAGTGTAAAGAAATTTTTAATATGTTGTATGAATAACAATATAATATGTTATAGCGACTTATTATTTTATTTTCAGTTATTTTAAGATACTTTTCTCCTCCTATTTATGTTTTTGTACATTTTCTATAATTATACAAATACCAGATTGTTTAGTTTTCTAGGCCTAGGAGAAAACAAAAAATACGTGAATTTTTCCGCCAAATAGGTATATTTCTTTTTAATCTGTCAAAATGAAGCTGTAAAAGAATTAGATTTATTTATGAATAAATATATATATATTACCTTTAAATTGAGAGGGACGAACTTCACAACAACTATAAATGAGGTCGACAAATTCAGGAGATGAGTCCATATTTATTTCAAGAAGAGAACGGGTGTGAATTAATTGCGTACCTATAAGTAGTTGAAAAACCAGAGGTATGACATGAATTGGTAATGATTAAAACCGTCATACCATTGTTATTCCTATATAAAATATAATTAATGGGTGTTGATAAAATATATATTAATAGCAACATTAAAAAAATTATTATAACAATTGTAGAACGATAGTGCAATAGAATGCAATTAAACGAAATGGTTTCAACGTGCACAATTGCACATGTTCCGAGGATTGAGTGATCTTTTTTACCTAATTTTCTTTTAGAACTACTTCTTAACATTTTAATATACGAGTATTAGGAATTTTAAATAATTTCCAAAGGACTTTATATAAGAATAAACTCTTCTAGTGCATTAGAGCATAATATAAACAAGATTTAAGCTACGAGTTGGAAACAAAACACATATGACAATGCTCAAAAGATTGTAAATATATTAGGAGAAAGAGTTGGAATAATTTGTACATTACTGCGAACTTGCCATACAGTGTGAAAATCTTAATTGGGAGTTTTATTCCCAAAAAAGCAATTCTGGTATAAATAACATCCTGGGTGAATAAATAATGAAAATACAGATAAATGAGAAGAAAAAAAAATCTAAGGTGGTAGAGCCTAGCTGTAGTCAGTTACTACAGCTCGAAAATGGGCTGGCTCGACCGGGGAAGTACCACCCTCTCACAGAAGATCGGCGTGAAGTAGCCTTTAGTGGTTGCGTTTCGTCCGATGAGTGAGAGAGCCGGTTGCCCTTTCCCTACTCCCACCCTTTCCTACCATTTCCTTATTCCCACCTCTCCCTATCCCTAAAAAACAAGGGTGGCAACGCAACGGCAACGATGTTGTGAATGTCCATGGGCGACGGTAACCACCTTCCATCAAGTGGGCCGTCTGCTCGTTTGCCAACTTTCACAAAAAAAAAAAAAAAAAAGAAAATTGCTTCAAACCGTCTGATGAATATTTAAAAATTCATATCCTAACAATATTCATGAAGATCAATAAATCTCTTTGAGTTCTTTAATTACTCTATTTATTTGTATCCTTGGTTTTTCCTCGTTTTTATTGTGTTGTTGTTTGATTGGAGTATATAATACAGTTATTATTACAGTTATATGGTTTACTATGAGTAATAATTTTTTTTTAATTTATGTAAATATATAAGCATCCCATTAACAAAATTATATTTTGGTATATATTAAAGACCAAATGATTCTCTGCTTTGATATGTAGCATCAGGTTCAACGTCGTTTGTTTAATATCCTTACCACAAGAATACATCCCCAAACTATATACATATAAAGAGTTACAATGATACAATCACGAATGAAAAACTGGAAACTCTTTGTATTTAGTCTGGGGATGGGAATTTATGGTAAGGAAAGTATAAATTAAGGAGCGTGCAATTATCGGTAAAATCATAATTAATTATAACTGTTTTTTAAAACTAGTCTCAGGCCGAAGGAAAAACAGAGGTTATTTTCAATTATACAGTTCAATAATCATAAATTATTTAAATAAGATGACAAAGTAGACTTCTCCAACAAAGTTTTCACCTTTAAAAATAATTATGAAGAGGTCCGATTTATAATAAAAATAAAGAATGTGTTTTATAGAAAATTATATCTTACAAAATAAAATAATTTATTGTTTTGCAAGAAATCCTCACGCAACTTAAATTGCATCAACACATTTGCCTACGTATGAATATTATCTCTCTTATAATTACTTCTCTATATATCTACATTTAAATCAGATGTTGGTAAATATATGTTTATTTGTTTACTAGCAACTATGAAATAGTTACCTCGTATAATGAATAGGGGAACTGCAGGCAAAACGGGACACTTAAGGAAACACTCATTTAAATCAACAAATTATAGGTTTATTTTAGAAACTTTTATGAGAACAAGCTTACTACTAATCAGTCTACATATTTTAATAATCAGAATTTATTTAAATAACATACATAGTTCAAATATAAGGGATAATTTCCAAAATCTTCACTTTAGTCCGTTTTGCCCCCATAAACGAGCAAAATCGACCTCATGTGAGGGCAAAATGGACCTGTACAACATACTCATACTTTCGTCCAGAGAACAGTTGTCGCATATAAATATGGTGTCCGCATCATCATGGTCTACGCCTGCAAAACTACAATGTGCCCACTGATGACAAATATGGCATCTCACCCAGCCTTCTTTTGATTCTGAATGGAGATGATAGTAGTAAAAACATTTTGTATCATCTTCTTCTTCTTTTCCTGTGAAATAGGTGGTTGTACCTTTACGTGGGACATTGTCGCAGAACGCTGAGCATCCACTGAACAATTAAATAATGACTGAGTCGCCCTTCTAATCTCATCTTGCAGATTTGTTACTTTTAGGGGAGAGAGGGCCGGTGTCCTATTTTGCCGGACCGTTTGCCCTTTGAGAACATTTAAAACAAAAATAAATTTTGAGTTTTTAAACCCGACCTTTTTCTATTCTGTTGATACTATAAAAAGGTCAATATAATGTAAATCACAATGATAATGCATAACATTGGCTATTACATAATGGAACAAAAGTGCAGGCTAGTCAAAATTGTGACTTTTTACATCGAAATAAAAAAAAAACTTACCGTACCAAAATTTCCTTCTCACACATGACTGGCTTACCGACACTGACCAAAAGCGGGGAGGTGGATATCTATTAGTAACAGTACTCACTTTAGATGGCGCTGGAATTTAAAGTTATCAAGCTGGTCCGTTTTACCTACAGAGTCCGTTGTGCCTGCAGTTCCTCTATATATTGTGTTTGATTATGTCCTCAAGCACTTAGATTGTCAAGAAACGAAACAGAGTAGTTTTAATTTTCAAAAACTTTGAGATCCAATTAATAGTTATTTTTAATGTTAACTAATAATATATATGGACACAAATATTATACGTACCTACTTAATACTTACTTTAGACCGTCCTTCAAAAAGCCGGATGGTATAAAGTCTAGTTTTTTCAAAAGCATACAAGTTTTTTAGCATCAGATATATGGGTATTAAATTAGAGGATTTCCTAAGAAAATTTACAAATAACAGGGAAATATTTGGCGGCAAAAGACGGAATGGTTTTAACTTTAAATTAAATTAATAATTTTTTTTAAAAAGACATATTATGAAATTCAAAACAGGCTTTTCGCTAAACAACTAACAAATAGTGCAATCATGTAATGTTAATTTATTTTATTGAAAAAAGATTTGTTATTTTGTGTAAATATTGTCCCCAGTCTATAAAACATTAATTATTGGGTGAAGGATAAATAGATTCAAATCGTTGCAACAGGTATTTAGAGGCGAACATCTCACTCTTGTGAGTTCATAAAAAATTGTTTTGTGAGTCTACAAACGAAATTATTATATCCGTCGAGGTCGCCAACAATTCGATTACGTGATCCGTCGAAGGTCCTTCCTACATTATTTTTTTGTTACAGCACAACGTAGCATCGGTAGGCCGGTTGAATATATTAAAGAATCTAAACGAGAACCACATACGTCCAAGACCAAGTACATGGACTTCATTATAAAATGATTTGAATTTATAATTTTCTTATTACAGGTGTAATTAATATTATACGTTTGTTTATTTGATTTGCTAAATAGTCTTTGGTTTTACATATATTTTATTATCATAATATTTATAAAACTATTTGCGTCTTACAATTAGGACTCTCGGATATCACGAATAGATGGTCATCTAATCAAGATTTTTATAACACATTATATCAAAAGAAATAAATATTTTTGTTGCAACTCCAAAATGCAAATATTCTATTTTATAACCTTCCAAATTATTTATGAAGGTCACAAAATAATAACATCCAATTAGATTAAGGTTTTATAAATATTCAAAAAAATATATACGAATCTAATAACATTTTCAGTCATACCTGTACTTAACATGATATTTTAAAGTTTTGAGTTAGAAATTATTCAATAGAAGAATGACACGGCTAGACACTAGAATTAAGAGCATTTCGCAATAAATGACCGTTATTAGTAAGAATAAGTATATTGTACTGTTTAAATTAAAGGTAATAATATAGGTGTACATGTTATGCTATAGGTCCAATTATAGGTAATATTTAACTAAAATATTATTAATTTTGAGTAGAAATATATAAATTGTATTATCTTCTTTTCACTAAAATTGAGTCTCTCGAATTGGATTAAGTTTATAGGTCTCTATTTGTTTAAAGAACACATCTCGTTATAAAAGATTTGATATCGGTAAAAGTTTATTAAAATTTCATCAAAAGTTAGTATTCAGATAGACGATAATTTTGATAGTGATCAAGGAATTTGATTAAAATTAATTATGACTTTCATCAAATAATTAAATGAAATTTATAGATATAGAATTAAGAATTTTTCTTTTGTTACCTTTATTAGGAAAATGAAATTAAGTTTCTAGAACGATAATTATGGAAATTATCCGTGTATTAAAATTATATTCATATTGTTTTTACCTTAGCCTTGTTTCAAAACCTTTAAAATTTTCCTCCAACAGTTTATTTGTTAAGATTCATTCTATTATACATATTCAGCTAATATAATATTAAACTGAGACTAGAAAATGAATGTGATTAGTAAAGCAAAAGTAAAATAATTCGAATTCGAGACAGAATATTCCAATAACAAAAAATAATAAATAAAAGCTACTTAACTTGTACATACTTATAAAACAAAAATATCATTTCGTACTCTTTTGTCTTAGATACTTAAAATCGTTATACATATAACACTGTATTATAATATAACACTTTCCAGTAATTACCAACAACACCTTGAAAGTTTGGTTTCATTGTAAATAATAAAATTTTTAATGATTTAGTATGAAATATACGAGTATAAAAAATTGAGAATGATAATAATGTAATAAAAAACGTAATTTTATTTTGCCTCCGCGGTCTGAAGGTGGCAATAGAATTAGTAATAATTCTAAGCGACAGCTAAGCTTGTCGCTAACTTGAAGACACTTGCTTAGAGAATCGTCTATTCTCATTTAAAACCGCGAGCAAGTATTACGTTTCCGTTGGCTAAACACTTGCGGTGTGAAATGTATGGGCGTCTATTATTTTTAGTGACTTTATTATTAGTAGTGTATAGTAGAGCTGAAAATGAACCGATACGTAAGACAAAGCTTGGCTACATGCACGGTTATTACATGGAGACTAGGAAAGGCAGAAAAATATCTGCCTTCACATCCATCCCATACGCTAAACCTCCGATAGATGAATTAAGATTCAGGGTGAGTATCTGAAACTCAATTGTACATTTTCGCTAAATGTTTTTGTGTTATTTAAAAGGCTTCATTGCCTAACTATTAAAGAAGCTAGCGTTGTGCTTTGCGTTATGTAAAAGTATTAAATATATTTGTGAGTGTATTAACCTTAGTTCTTACAAAAAGTTTCGTAATAGGAAAAAAAAATCTGATTAAAACTAAGTAATGTAATATGTATGGCTAAAATTTTAAAATTATGTAATCTTAAAAAAATATATATATTATGTAATATTAAAATTTTTAAAAGTATGTAATCTCAAAAAAATATTATCTTGATTTTTTATGAGTATTCATTTGAAGAAAATATTGGGGATTTTTTTCAAATTCAGAAAATGATTTTCTTTTAACTATGTTTTCAATCTTATTTATATTGTGTTACAATTTGTATAATCAATTTATAAACACAGACAATAACGAACTGCGACTGATCTCGTCAAGCTAATTTAATTTTCATAAGAAAATAACCATTACTTTGACGATATGTTATTATTATTTATTTCATTATTATAAAAAAAGAGTTTAAATCGTCAACAAACATACTTTAACAGCCACTAAAAATTTCACAGGACGTTTAATGTTAGTTAGCTTATGATTTAATGGTATAAATATTTTTGAACTGATGTATTAAAATCACAAATACATATTAATTCTAGACTTCATGTGGGCGTTAAAAAACACCTGATTTTAGAACTATACTTCGTTAATTACAAATATGTTACTGATCTATTTACTGTTATGAGCAATGGAATTTAAAATTATGAGAGAATAATATCATCTAACAATAAAATTAATTTGAGAGACATCCTATACAATAGAGGATATCCTATAAAATTTCAGGGATTCAAAATTCCTTTGTTGCATCAAAGTTGTTCAGGTTTATCTGAATTCGTTGCCAATGTATGGACAGTCTGTTAGAAAACTTATAAATCTCTTATTTTGATACTTTTTTATTTTAAGAAAAAAAAACTTGGTTTAGCAAAAATGTAATACATATATGTATATTTATATATCAGAACTACTAAAAATCTTAGAGCTACAATTTAAATACAAAGACTTCAATTGAATTATTACACTTTTCCATAATATTATAAATTGAATCATCGTTGACTTTGTTGCAGACATAATTTAATACTAACTGAGAAAAAACCTGTTTAATTTAGTTTTCCTCAACACCGAACACCACGTGCAAAACGAGTATTAACTCTGATACCATAATAAACCGCATTACTGACGATGATTGATAAAAAATAAATATTATTTCGAACTAAAAATATTATATTGATTAAATAAAAAAAAGTTATATAAACTAAATTGCCAGGTTAACGAACCGATACCAACAGATGATTTCAAAACCAGAAATCGGATCATACAATCGTACATATATATTTAAATTTATCCTTGCCTTAATTATATTTGGATATGACAAGATTTCTTTTTTAGTCTTGTATATAATTAATAAATTCATATATTGTAATTTGTAACAATAGTAATTGTTAGATCCCTATTACGACCGTTACAGCAGTCAGCACTTATTGATAGACTATATTACGCGTAAAACGGTATAAGGAAATGTCGTAAACTAACTTAATAGAAAGCAATATTTATATAAAACATATTTTTAATTTACTTTAGTCTTAGTGTTATTACACTAATAAATCAATTAATGTTTCATGAAGAAATGGACTGTTAAATGACGTTACAAAAAGATATCAATTTATTTTTTAATAGCCGTTCACATTGGTTACAAACTCAGAAATAGAGATTTCCAAACATATTATTAAAAAACCTTGTAGGTTTTTTTTTGTAAAATGTGCTTTTCGTAACCTAAAATTAAACATATCAGGAAAATTATAAACCTATGTTCCTCGATTTTATTTCTCATAAAATTTTCGATTCTATAAATTGAAATTCGTATTTCAAATATTCACATATTATAAGATAGAGCTGCTCATTCTATTCAGAGGACCTACTCACCGTTGGAAATACGAATGTCCATCGTTTGTTATTTCCCTCTTACAGTGAAATCCCCTCGTTCATACTTCAATTATTGTCAAGTATTTAAGAGACATTTTATCCTTATTTCAGTATATTCAGTTATTCGGCTAGTTTTGTTACATGGTTAAATAAGAATTTTGAATTGGTTAAAACGGTTAAATAAGAATAAAATGTGGGGGCTACAAAACATTACCAAATGAAAGGATGTATCACAAAATACTAGAACACTAATTCTGTAACAGGTTATCCAAAGAAAAAAAATAATTAATAATATCAAATTTTTAATATTAGGTAAACTGTGTATTTTTTTGATAGTGTCTCGAATCTGGATAGTGATTGCCGTTGAACCCGCTGAAAATGTGGTGAATAGATCGTAGGTAGTAAATCGTAATAATTAGCCGTAGTCTCGTTATTTATCGTTTAAATTTATATGTATTTATTAAGTAATTGTGATGCAATAATTTAATTCTAAGAGATCAACTAGACATAGAATATTAATGTACCTAATTGCCTTTTTTTATGCATATAAGCTGTTTGTTAAGCTGGTTTTATTATGAGCCTTATTTGTTGCTACAGAGGGAAGATAATAATTTTAGAATTATCAATTATAAGATTAAGCAATATATGTATGTATGTTAGAGAATTAAATAAAGACACATTAACTTAAATTTATGATCGATGGCTATAATCGTAAAGCTTACTACATGTCGTTACTTAATTATTGTTAAAAATATTCATAAGAGAATTTAAATCAATATATGAGTATGAAAACGAAGTTTTATTATGCAATGAATATTATATATACGGTAAAAAAAAATGTTTCTGATTTCATGGAATCCATATGTTCACAAGCCTCATACTCGACTTAAAAATATACCTCATATTAATAGTTAATTTATAAAACCTATTATGATACTGTTTACATGTAATTACTTAGTTTGTGCTGTCAATTTGACATGGCATAAATTATATTTCATTTTTTATTCTTTACGTTGCAGGACTTGAAGACTTGTGGTATTTAGTTAGATTATAATAAATAGTTCTGAGCTTATTGTATAATTATGGATTTACATTAAGTTGTCACTGACATACCTATTAAATAATAATTTATTTGTACGCCCTTTGTATATCTTATAAACAAACAAAGATTTTTGATATCTTGCGTCTTAAGTTTTTTCTAGTTTTCTCTCTTACAAATTAAAAGTATCTTTCGCCTAGAAGTTGACAGTTTTTTTGTAATTTCTAATTTCACAATGTTATTAAATTAAATTATTATTAACTTTGGCTATGAAGTATTAACGTGTTTAAAATTATAGCATAGTAAGATAATAAAGAAATTATTTCAATTAAAATACTATTATGAACTCGTATAATTGCAAAAGTATATCAGTAAATAATTGTAGGTAACTACAATCAGTAACTGGTCTACTTTTAACGTATTATGTAGTATGATACTCGTAATGAAGACACAAAAATTCAATGACTATAATATATACTCCTAACTTACCCATAATATACTTATTTATTTATTTATTTATTGGATCGCCAACAAGGTATACACAAATACAAACATATAAATTATTACATATATAGATACTTAGAAGAAATCGTCACTCGAATTATAATTAAAATCAAATATATCATATTATTCAAAACGAAACCGTATTTCCAAATAAGAACGTTTCTCAAACAATTGCACCAAAGTAATAAAGGATTTACTATTATTTTAAATATAAACGTATATATTAATCTAATTATACTTGTATGGAATACATTTGTGGTTAGTCATATTAGCAATAACAACCAGCAATTTCATATGTAAATAAATTTTATATTAAATATAAATATTAAATATAAAATTTATTTACATAAACTAGTATGTATATCAAACGCTACTAAAACCAGTTTTTAGTTTGGACACATAGTCGTATCAAGATTAAAATATTTAAAAAAAATATTGATTTTAAACATCCATTATTGAATAGAATTAATTAGATATTTACTTTAAACTTAAAAATATCAAATAACTAATTAATTATCGTTCCAAATTAATATATTACGTCACATTTGTTTACATACTTAATTATATAGAAAAGGACGCTAGTTTATTGTTTTCTATAGCAGACTACAATCGAAGAGCTTGTAGCAGCTTCACTTTGCCACAAATGCAAACGTAAATTGCAGATTAAAAATGCCAGACAAAAGCTTGTTTGAGTAAAGTATAATAAATATTATTCATGCTTACTTACCTTTGACACGGTCTGTGAGTTATTGTATATTTTGTTGGATATAGTTCGTTTGATAGAATTACTGCACTGTATTGCATTGTAATTTAATACAATAAAAAACCTAATTGTAAGATTAAACTTGCTGAGGTACATGTATAAATGTGTAATTTATAATTTTAAAAGTAATGAGCAACAACTCTCGCACAGAAAAGTCTTGCGACAAATTTGTTCGGTGTTTAAGCATTCAATACAGTTGAAATAATATGTACATATCTGTCTATTTAAAATTAATACAAAAGGACTTCCAAACGATTCATGTGGCGGTTTCTATGTAACTGAAGAAATAAATGTGTAAAATGTGCTGTGACATAAAATTGTACATATATTATATATTATTAAAACAAATACCCTTTAATACTGTTCTCTACTTTTTACTATTATATTATAAAATAACGGTACCGGCTATGTCTGACTTATATGTTTAGATAGAAACATCTTTATTTTAAGAACTGACTGTTTTTTTATTATGTAGGTATTAGGTAATAAAATTGCAATCGCTAATGTTACTCGGTTATTGGACTTTTAAATTATAATGATCTTAGTTGGTACTGTGCAGTATATTATAACGACTTTTCATCATAACTAAACATCAATAGTAATAAACTTAAACATAAATCATGGAATATAAAAGATTTTATTCTAAGTGTTTTAATAGAAGGCTTCTAACTGCTATAGGACCAATCTCATGCATTAATAACTCCAATTGCAAATAATATCAATCACCTCGAAAAGTTTATTACATAATATATAGCAATAGTACAATCACACAATTCTTTAAATCATTTATATTGTATGAGGGAAATCCAAAGAATAAAGGAAACAAGTTAAATAGATCATAGGATAGGATAAAAAAGACGGTACTTTATTATTTAACTTGAAAAAAAAAAGTTATGAACGTAAAAATTATGATTATGGATAGTGTTGTAATATTTTATGCAACATTCTCTAGGGCATGATACACTATAGAAGTTCTTATGTGTAACAAATGTACAACCTATTTTATATTTCAGGCCCCAATACCTATATCACCATGGGAAGGTACTTTAAATGCTACAAAAGAAAGTCCAATATGTGTTCAAAGGAATCCTTACATTCGCCAAAAAGAGATTGTGGGTCAAGAAGATTGCCTCTATCTTAACATATACACCCCGTTTTTGGGAAATGTAAGTACTGTTATTCATATAATGATATATTTTTATTAAGTAAGTAAAAGGACATTGAATTGAAATAGAATGTTCATTTTCAGTTTTAGTTGTGATAAATTATTGTTTCTTTTTTTATTTACTCCAATGACCTTTTTAAGGAAGTCTTATTTTTTAAATTAATATTAATTTGTTACTTAAAATTTTTTGTATTTGTCAAACAAACTCAATCTTAAATGTTAAGAATTTTGCGAATTCCATTTCCTTTTAATTAAATTATTCTATAACTTCATAAGTCCATAACAAATAAAAATAATATTATATTTTTAACTATAAATTATGTGTAAAAAATATGTTTTTATACAGTTTTGAGTACTATTATTTTTTTATGACACAATTCAGATAAATTAGGATTTAAATTTAAACAAAACAGAACTGAGAATTTCAGCCTAAAATACGGGAATGAAGTTTCATATTGTGAGAAATAACTTCTTTTAATATGTAAAGTATGTTAACGCCTTACAAAAGCCTGATACAGGTTGTTAAAGTTTTATTTATTTTCTATTGTCTATTTCAAAAACTAAACCCCTAAAAGGGATGTTTTTGATGTAGTTAAATAGGATGTTTTTGTCGAAAAAATCACTTGTGGTTAGGTTATTTTACTGTAAAAACGTATTTCTTTTATTCGTAGTTTCAATCGTAATGCTATCAAAATTTGTTTGTTGTGTTGCAAATGTAAAAAATAGGTTTTTTGTTCAAACCTAAACTTGAATTCGATAAGTTAGTACTTCCGTATGCAAAATGACTTGTTTATTTCATTATATATGTTTCTCATGTATTACAAATATACTATACATAAATAGTCAAATGTGTTTATGAAATTTTTAATATTAATTATTTTGTACTTCATACAACCCAATTCATTGTGTATTTCTCTTATATTTTTAGATTGAATACGTAAATATATTAAACAGTTTTACAAAATGATATAGCTTCGTATGTTTCATTTATTCATTCATTCAGGTCGAGATAATATCATTACTATTGTATCAAACAAATCTCCTGACGTGATTATTTTTTCGACATTTTAGTTGAAGGTTTTAGCCTCCACTGCATTATTGCACGAATGTTTTTTAACTTGTTTAATTAGTTTCAAGCGTCATTTCCGACTAGTTGTTGATAAACTAAGTTAAGAGTCGAGTGTGTCAAGTAATTGAATATTACTTGACGCGATGTAATATGCAATAGTATGGAACATCTTCATCAAGTAACTTTTTTATCTCAATCCCATAAAGATAATGGATTTCAGTTTAAATTTAAGTATTTGAATTGAATATAAATTCGTTAATACATATTAACATTAAAGTATGAGGATACGATTTGAACAAAGAGCTGTAAAGTTAATAAAATTGTATTATTCTGACTTTCTTTTAGGATGAAGTGCCAGAAAAAGATTTACTTCCCGTTATGGTATTTATTCACGGCGGAGGCTGGATGTGTGGTGACGGAACCACACACATGTATGGACCTCAGCATCTTCTCGACAGAGATGTGGTCTTTGTCGCTATAAACTATAGATTAGGTACTTTAATTTACGTTTTAAATGATATCTATATACCGCTTATTACATTTCTTTGAAAGTTATACAGGAGTAGCAGGTACAAATAATTTGAAAACAAAATACTTTCGTTTAAGTTTTGTACAAAAAAGCACATATTTTTGTTTTATTAAGAATTACTTTTATATATTTTGGAAAATTTCAGGACCTTTAGGTTTTCTATCCACTCTTGATGAAGTGTGTCCGGGAAATAACGGTTTAAAGGATCAACAAGAGGCTTTTAGGTTCATTCAAAAGACAATTGCATCGTTCGGAGGAAATCCAAATTCCGTGACGATATTTGGAGAGAGCGCTGGAGGAGCTAGTGTTAATTATCATATGCTGTCAGAAACCAGTGCAGGTACTTAAATCCATTTCATTGACATATTAATTTATTTATATTATAAAAAGATTTTTTTAACAGTAAGAGAAGTAGGCCCGTTAATATCTTTAAATTAAAAGGTATTAATATATATTTAAATAAAATAGGAATGTCATTTATGTGTCATAATAAGCTACAGAGTTACATATATATGTAACTAGAATTTGTAAAACGTATATTTTTTTTGCATTTCAGGACTTTTTCATAAAGCGATATCTGAATCTGGCACAGCCTTAGTGCCGTGGGCCGAGGCGCCACCTGGCGAAGCAAAAAGGAACGCATTCCGACTGGCTAAGTTTCTAGACTGTCCCCAGACGCCTTCAGAGCTCATGATTAAATGCCTCCGCACCATACATAGCTACGATATCATTGAGACAGAATTTAAATTTTATGTGAGTTATATTGTCTAATATTCATAATTTTCTAAGCGTATTTATAGATTATATGTATATATATTCATAGATGTGCATAATCCCTAACTCAAAATAAAAACTGTAATGAAATGCCAATTACATAATACATTCAATAAAATATTATTCATTTAATAAAAAAAAGTGAGTGAGTTGGTAGGAACATATATATGTAAATTGGTTTACCAGATATTATAATATATTAAAGAATATTATCGTTAGGGGTTTTTTCGCTAATTTAAACTCGCAAATCTCAGGTTCTACTTATTCTAGTAAAAAAAAATTCAGTGCAAAAGAGTAATTTTTGAGACTATATACAAAAAAGCTGTCGTTTCTAGAAGAATTCATGAAAAGTTCTCTTTTGTCAGTATAATTTACCATACAATTAATACACCATCATAGTAGTGCATACAGTTGTCTTACTTAAACTTCTTTTCTTTCTGATTATTGCTGGATGTGTTAAATTAACTGTATGATGTAATCTCTTCCACTTTTTATACTGGGTGATGACACAAGCACATAAGGTTTATATTTTTATATATTTTGTTATCAGTCCTGGGACTACGAACCTATGACTACGTTCAAAGCCGTAATAGAACCTGATCTGCCCGGTGCATTCTTAACGAGTAGTCCTCGAAAGCCTCCATTTACCAAATTGGTACCATGGCTTACTGGCTTAAACAAAGACGAAGGGTGCTTAAAGTCTGTCTGTAAGTTTACTTTATTACTTATTTTTAATTATGTTCAAATGAAACTTCCAAATGTTTTATTTTATTATAACTGTGTGGCGTTTATAACATGTCAAATAATTTTATTTATCTTTAGCAGTTTGTAATAAACAATAGAATGTTAATTAAACCTATATTTTATTTAAATGACAGGGATAACAGCTCACAAGGAACGCTTTAAGGAATTCATGTCAGGATTTGATGCGATTGGACCCATTACTTTTTACTATGATAATTCACCATATTCAGAATTGATAACAGAAAAAATAAGATCATATTACTTTAAAGACGATGAAAATAGTATAAAAGATGGCATTTTAAAGGTACGTACTATTACAAAGATGTGTTTGTTGTTTGTGATTGTTTTTAACCAAATTTATTTTTATTTCTGTAATACCTTCAAACTATTTCAAGCATATTACATTGATCAAAAAAATATTATATTTTTTGTTTAAATTAATAACAAAGAAAAACCTTTAATTATATAATAATATTGACGTTATCATTTAATGAGTAAGAGAGTTTCCTGTAAATTGAAAGAGCAAAATTCATTATAAATTGATGGAGTTAATATAAGCTTCACACAAAATCAATCAAGCGTGCCAAACTGACCGCATACGATACCGTGATGTATCTATATTTATCATATTGTTGCAACGTCACAGCTAATGCATTAACTGTAACAAAGACGTATATGTGCACACATTTCACCCTAATCAAATTAATAAATGGACTACAGAGAAACCTCTCATACCCCTTCAGATTTCAATATAACGTATTATTGTGTTTCCAGATATATTCGGATTCATATTTTGATTATCCTTTGGTGGAATCCGTTGAATACGCATTAAATTATAGCAAGAACCCAGTTTTCCTCTACCAACTCTCCTATCGCGGAGTGAATAGTTTTTCCCAAATATTCGGTGATCCCGAGGGAAATTACGGTAAAAATTATAATTTTTAAGATCTCATGAATGATAACAATAATATTAATATTTTAAAAATAACACTAGCATTATTGAGCCTTTTTTTATATAGAAAGGGTTTTTAAATACATATGTAGATTTATAATACAGTTGTTTTATCACTTAACAGCAAACTTTTCTGAACAAGCTGAAGTTCTAAAATGTTCCAAAAATGTTCCTATTTTACAAAACAACATGTATTTTACTGAGTAACATTTTTTAATTATAGAAATATTTCTAAGGTTCCCATTAAAAAGGTTGCATCTGCTTAAAATATTATATTAAATCAATATTGCAATTCGCGTTTGAGTACCAGGATTTTATATTATGACGTGTACATCTATTTAATTTTACAATGGTGTTTCCAGGTGTTTGTCATGCAGATGAATTGATGTATCTATTTCCTATAGAGTTCTTGAAATATCCTCTCACGAAAGAAGACAATGATATGTTAGAACTCATTATAACTATTTGGACAAACTTTGCTACAAGCGGGTACGTTTTGATTTATCACAATAAGTAGTATGATATAAAACTATATACATCAATGTATACTTTTATTATTCAAGTCGTAAAATAAGAGAAGTTTTTGTAAAATAAAATTTCCATTATTACATTAGTTTTTGTCTAGTAAACATTTTTTTTTTCAATTTATTTTATAATTCATAAGTTAAATTTAAAAAATTACAGAAACCCCAATAAGCCCCTAAAGGTGCCTTTTGACTGGAAGCCTGCGAGTAGTAGTGAAAATATGGAATATCTCGACATATCGAAGACTCCGGAAATGAAACAAAATTTAGCTGAGAGATCAAGATTTTGGTCAAGTGTGCCGCTTTGGCATAACGTTAAAACAAGAAGAATTATCGACGAGTTGTAGAAAACTGTACGTTTAGTGTCACAATTTATTTTAATAAAGTTTTATACTGTGACCAATAATTTTATTGCTTAGTGAATTATCTTTTTATAAGTTCATAACCCGTGATGTAAGAAAGAAGATCATGGATGTAAAGAGTGATAACAAAAAATGTAAACCCACCTGTGTAAAGACAAAATGTAGTATTTATTATTTTAATGTATACTAATATTATGAACATCCTGACAGTAAACATGCGGGGTCCACCAAATATTAAAATACTCAATAACAGTTTTCATTTTCATAGAGTCATGAGTGTTAAGAAATTTACAAAAGTTACAATACGCATCAGTTTCGGACCTTTCGTGAGGGAAATGATACGAGTAATATTTCTTCCACTTAAAATAAAGAAAATATTCTTCAGGATTATGTATTAGTTCATGCATTTTTTTTGCCAGTTTGTGTGGTCCTAGTTCCAAAGCGTTTAAATAAGATCCTTCAGGCATGAATCTGAAATTGATATTATTGAAAATGTTACTTCCTTGTTCATTATGATTTAAAAAAATTTAAGACATAAAACGATTTTTTTTGAATATCAATACTTAGTGTCAAACCTCGTGTAATTGGCGCCTCCGAAAACAATAGGCACTGTATCATAACGAAGTGCATGCAAAATCTTTTCTGTCACATAATCTTCACTCAATGCATTTTCAAATGCTAGATAAAAGTAGTAATTCCTCTGCAACATCGTTTCACAGCCTTTCATATTGATTTGCGAACATTGTAGCTTTCCACAATCACCGTAAACATCTAGTTCCAAACCGTAAACAATCATTTGCTCCTCGAGTTGCTTCACGAAGTGCTCGCGAAGACTTACCGTATTGCAATTCGATACAAACCAGGCTGCTGCTTTAGATTTGAGCCCTATGGTTGCCTAAAATAGTATGATAATCGTAAAAAAATAAAATAAGTACATTTATTTATACGGATCGTTAAACACTGAATATTTTAGGTAAGTGATTAAAAAGATGCGTTGTTCGAGTATTAATATGCTATTTTATACTTTGTAATTTTTACTGGTAAATGGTTTCTTAATTATATTACATACATGATAAACGTGTCTGAAAAACATTAATTTTCAAAAAGTAATTTTAATTTCTAATGGTCATTAACCGTCCTGAAAACCAAGGAAGTAAAATGTCTCAGTTGTATGAAACAATATTTAAAAAGAAATGAAAGAAAAAGTCTATAAGTGAAACTATAACTTTAGTTTTTTAGAAATTATGATATTTAGTCATATTTTCCTAAGAAAAATATAAACAGAAACGTTTCAAATATCAAACTGATTTATAAGACCTTTTTTCAAATTTAAAAAGGTTAAAAATAAATTAGAAAATATGCAATGTGCTAGGAAAGTTATGACAGAAACTAGTAAAAGATTCTCAGTAGTCTTAAAAAATCCATCTTACTAAAGAATCTGATATTTCGGTCTTTTCCTTAAAATGGTAGTGAAACCCTGATAAATAAAGAATGCCAGTGCATCCAAAAATTTTTATTTGAAGCATATTTGGGTGTGATTGATCCATCGTAAATAATAATTAACGGAAGTCCTAGCTAACCCAAGGCCACTGCTAATAAACCTGACATTTAAATGAGTTTTGAGACTAAATTGATCATTCCCTTTTTATATAAATCAGATTCTTATTCGTTACTGCACTGTTGCTCGATGTCATATTTTCAACAAGTTAGTTACGATGAGTTATGAATATGGGGAGGTTACTGGGTTTCAAAATGTCATTGCCAAACTATTCAGAATATTATAACCAAAGTATGAGACTTTACTCATTTTACAAGGGCTAATTCACACAATCGGCATCTTGCCAACGTTAAGCAAGGATCGTCTCTCTAGCTGCAATCTAACCACAAACTGGGCCAGGATTTTGGCAGAGTGCCGCTTGTGTGCAGTTAGTGTTAGTTGTTTGCAATAAGTACTTTGTGTCCTTTGATAGAACTGCACAAGCTGTCACATCTATATTGTCATGATCCAACCACGCAACAATTTATGATCAATAACTTTAGCCGTGAGTGATTAATATGGTGGTCAGGATAAGGTTCTTATGAAAGGAAAAACGAAGAAAATTGTGCTTTAACCTTATGTTATAAGAAAAAATTTTTTTTTCAAGATAGACAAGAGAGGTGTGTCGGGTGTACTACTAGAATTAAAATATATAATAAAAATAATACTTCTTCTCATAATAATGTAATGTTAGGTATTTAGGAGGTAAATTGTCATTAAATATAAAAATATACTAAAATGATGAATATGTTTTTAAAATGAAAGCTAAAAAATAAACTTTACCTTCAAATCTTTATCTATGGGATCCATATTCGATATATTCTTCCAAATAATATTCTTCTTTGGCCCAACTGTAATATTGTTGTTGTCCTCTATAATAAAGTAAGGCCAAAATAAAGTGGAGTCAAGTCGATATGTCCATGTGGTGTTGAAAAAGTTGTTCCAAAATGAAGTACAAACCGGATAACCAGCTGCTGATTCCAGTGTAGCATATATATACTTCTGGTTTGGATCTCTCCTTTTTGGTAAATCGTTTTTATATCGCAATAGATATAATTGAGTTCCACCAAAAATTATAGCTTCAAATTCAGTGTAATCGCCGAGGAGATTTCTGTCGTCAGTGACGTAGCAATTGCTCCATTTGCATTTCTTTTCAATGAAAACTGTTCTGCCTTCACCAAGATTAATTAACGGTTTAACATTTTTTTCAGTCCAAATAAGAATATACCTAATAGTCTCTTTTTTTTCTCGATCTCTGTCAGATGATTTTTCAGTTGTAGGCTTTTGAAAGTTTTCTGGTGATGAAATATATAGCGACGTTATTTCCATATCATTTTTGTAACTCCCTATATTGTAATAAACCGCGAAAAAGGTAATAAATAGTAAAATTATTGCGATTCCGTCATACTTTTTGTTTGTTTTTTTTGAAAAAAGTCTGTACATATTTAAAATATCTAGGCAATCGTTAAAATCCCGCTCAGCTGCTACAATCACAATGATGTGTCACAAGAGTATGGTGATAAATACAACAAACAGATATTTTGTTGTTTGTAAATAAAGATGTTTTCATAACAGTTCATCATTATGAAGTTCTGATCATAAACACAATCACGTTTTGTGTTTTCAGTCATCGAAGGTTTAAAAAAATGTATAATTTTATACAAAACAGGTTTTACTCTGTCAACTACATTTGATAGTTATTGTTTTGCTAAGTATAGTCTTTTAAAGTAAAACGAGCTCTAGCATAAAGTTAGAAACGCCTTGAAACTTAGTGTAACAAATCGTGGTATACCTAGTAAAGTACCTGGTAAAGTATTTTCTAAACACTTTAATCAAACCACGATTTTACAAAATATTTTAAAAGTCAATGACGAATAAGTCTTTTCGAACTGTTACGATATTATTTTAAAACATTTATATATTTTTGGTTGCACTTTATAAATTAGTTTTTAAATATACCTGTTATATAAAACAAGATGTATATATAATTCAGGAAAAATATAGCACCATTATAGCTTTGGAAGTTGGCTTACTTTCATTTTTATTATTTAAGCGTGTGTCTAGTGTAGATATATATGTATATAATAGGACTGTGAGTTCAATTACAGTGTAGGTTACTATCTAGCCACAGGCCTTGTACTATTCATTTTCTACAGCTGAATATTTGTAGTTGTCGTTTGCTTACGTTTAACTTCATACGTCCTGCTTTCAAACACCGGTATACAGCCTAATATTATTTCAATTTATTGATAAGGAATGACGAATACCATTTTACTGAAATCTTTTCATATAATTTACATTTAAATAAATTTTATATATCTCTCCAACAACTTTAAATTTTAGTACGCATTTTACATTATCCTATCTATGTTTTGTTCTGTACTTAGCAAATATATTAAAGCTTTGCGTTAGGTGTTGATTGTAGACTGTTATGTTACATTAGCTAATCTAATTGCAGTGTTGCTGAAAGTCCAAGATAAACACGCTTTGAAGGAACAGTTTGTGTACATAGATTAGAAATTGTCAAAGCGAATATTTATACTTGTTAACGTATTTAATGTGGTCATTCATTTAAACGCTTTATTTGAATAGGGTTCATATTATTATTGATTTAAAAAATGAGATATTAATAATATTGGTTTGTTGATATGAATTTCAATTAGGTATTTATAAAAGAAAAATCTGTATATTGAAATTAAAAATAGTGTTGAAAAACTATGGTCGTGGCAGCAAAACAGCTCGATATTGTTTGGTTGGATCATTTTTTAACAGATTTGCAAGGATGCTGAAGAGGATTTTTTAAATTGGTTTAAAGAGATTTTTGGCTTTGTGGGATTACAAACAGTATTGTAGTATGAAAAACAGACCTTTTGTAACAGCTTGTTTTTACGTTTACCAAGGTATAAATGATGACGTTTTATACAAAAATTAATATACAAATATATTTTGAATATTCGTTTTACATGTCTTTATACTAGCAATAACGTATTATAAAAATTAAAATTTACGAGAGTTTTTAAATGAAACTCAGAAATGTGAAACAGACTACAATATAATTTATCATGTTATTTATAACAACATTAAAGACAGGAAATCTTAAAAGACATCAGTTTTTATTCTTTTACAATAATTATTTGAAAATATATTTCTAATTGCAATAACAAATATATTAAAATATAATTTACTATTTAATATTTATGATAATATAATATATATCATAGACTTAAAGATAAATTTGCCACAAATGGAAAAACAATATTGGCATAATAAATCAATCTACTTTGATGTTCGACATGTTTTAGCGACATTAAATAAACATTGAAAAAAGGTAACATAAACTATTGAAAAGGTCGTTATTGTCTAACCCCATACTTTTACGCTCTGGTCCCAGGAACAACTGGCCAATGCAATTCCACTAGGAGCCAACGAAATTGAAGTTACTCTGTTCTCGTGAGCATTGAGAGTACCTGTAAAAAACACAAATTTTCGCATAGTCATTATATCTTATGTTCATTCAGATTAGAATCTCAAGTAAGTTAATTAAATAACTATGTGAACGAAATTTTAATTTCCTCTATATTGCGAATATTAAAATTATTTGAAATGGATGTACGCATGGGATAATTTTAAATTCTCATGACATATTAATTATTTTACCCGTATGAGCCACTTTGAGAGTGTCCCAGGAATGGACTGTATTGTCATCGGAGCCAGCCAACAGATAACGACCACTCACAGAGAGACCTGAACAGCATAAATAGAGTTTAATTAATATTCACGTACTCTATAAAAATCAATAAAATTATACACGGTATAAAAAATGTAATAATATTATTTTATACTTAGAATATTAAAAAATCGCGACGTCTCCTTTATACAGGGTGACTGGTGAATTACTATCGATATTTGAGGACGTGATATTTGACGATCATATATGACAAAATAAAAATTAATATGACATAAATATTAATAAACTTCTAAGTAAAGTTAACCAAAAGTTATGTAATTAATTACGCATCGTATGAACACCCTACAGATTAGGTATACACACACACTCACACAGACGCGGCGGCGGCGTAGTGTTGTATCAGCACGCCGCCGCACGCGTTCACACTTGGAACACTTGGCACGTGTACACACTTTATTTATTTACACGGAAATTTGGTCAAAAATTAAGTACCTATTTTTTTACATAATTCGAATGAAAATCATGTACCGAGTATGTTCCTTAAATATTGATAGTAATTCACCAGTCACCCTGTATAATTCGAAAGTACAAATATTAGAAAGTACAAATACTTTTAATTGTACTGATGTAACTTTGCTTATTGTATATATTACCTCAATGAAAAATGGTTTAGTTTTTGAGATTATGAAATTCATATACTATACAAGTATGTTAAAGTTATTTATATTTTTTGAAATATATTCAAGTAATTAATTCAATATGTCCGTATTTATTAAAAAAATTATTTGTGTTTTATAGTCGAACTCTTAACGTTTATTCATTTAAAGCATTTGCATTACATACTTTAAACTATCCTTAATTTCAGTAAAAAAAATGGTGGTTTATCTACATATAGATATTCATTTATTATGTGAAGACAACTTCGCGGAATTTAATGATTTGCAAAATTGTTATTATAGGTTATTAGTAATCTTTAATGAGACAAAGTTTCGATCAATCATTAACCGCAGCTAGTGAAGCCGCTGTTTCCAGGTGGTGTATAATGCCCCATCTGCTGATCACTGCGGAGATCGAACAGCCTCGCCGTCTTGTCTTCAGATGCTGTGGCAAACGCCTGACCGCTCGGATGATACTAAAATTATAGCAGTTGAATTTATTTATCTTTAGCTTATGTAATACAATGATGCTGAAGTCTATATTTTTCAGTTATACTATGGTCATAGATAGATAAAAAATAAATGAAAAAAGTCATACATATTCCCTATTACACACTATTATCTTGTTAAATTATTCAAGTCAAATAAATAAATAATATATTTGTTTATTATATCAGAACAATACTCGAATACTAAAATAATTTTCAATTTTGGTTTAATAAATTCGCCGAATTATTAATTAGGTAGAATCATATATCCATGAATTATATATTTGAAAACATTGATATATTAAATATTCATAATAAATTTTATGAGAATTAGATATCTGGCTGATATAAAGAGATAATTAAAACTTGCTTTGGATAACGACTTAATTAAGTTATTTCGGTTCACTTGAGGCATGTGTCGTATAAGACAGACGCTCACATGAGAGACAAGATTTTATATTAACTCCATAAGTTTTACTTACGATAAAATAATAAATTCCTTTCCTGCATATTCGCAATTTAAAGACAATAAGATTTTTCAAATAAATATATCATTCATATGTTTATATATTATTTCTGCATTCAACACATAGAATAAGTTAATTCAGTCCCGTGTCTGCGCCGCAGCAAAGAAAGGAATTCTTTACGAATATTATATTACCAAGACAGCGGGGGTTAATAAAGAAAAAAATATCTTTTATCACTTACTATAACTATTACGAGTTTAATTTACCCGATAACGCTTAATAAAACGTTAGTAGTTGTATTAAAATATGTCATTTTCATTTGAATTACTTACACAAACGCTATTCACATCGGCTTCGTGACCAAAAAACGTTTGCTTCGCTTTTTCAGAGCGCACATCCCAAAGCTTACAAGTTCTGTCTACAGAGCCGGTGACGAAAGTTTTCATATCTATGAAAAATAATTAGCTTTGAAGTTAAATTGTATCCAAATTTAGAAAAAATATATATATTTAATGGGACGTCTTTAAATTAATTAATTAATTTGATTAATGACGACATACCTGGTGCTAGCGAAATAGTTACCACATCCCCAGCATGAGCGTTAAAATCCACTTCTCTTCTACCAACTTCCAAGTCCCAAACGCATCTTAAAATTGTGGTTAAAAAAAGAAATATTAGAATTTAATTAACTTTGTAAATTATGCTTAAAGTATGAATAGATTCCTGATAATCTCTTTTAATTGTTCTATATCAGTTCAAAACTTTATCTAGGACACTGCGGAGAAATGAAATAAAGTTATTTTCGTTTGATCAATGATGGTCCATTTAAATGTTATTTGTGGGTGTAAGATTTAATTTGATTTCTTTTTTTATTTACATCTTCATATCACCGGAGCCGGTGAGGATGTGGGTGTCATCTAAGAAGCGGCAGCTGCTTAAGAAGCCCTCGTAGCCAGCAAGCTCACGCACCATTTTCGCGGAACCAGTAGCATCACGATTGTTGACATCGTACACAGTACACATGTTGTCCATACCACCACAGGCTGTACAACAATTGGGTTTTTGAATAATTTTTTTTTTTTGTGATAAATGGAAAGATCATATATAAGTTTTATAGCAAAACTATTTTTATTTATTTTTTCTTTGCAATAATTAAAAAGTTATTTCAAAATAAAAATTAAATTTTAAATTCAGTACCGAAGATACGCCGACAGCTCCCGAATAAATCCGAGCGCGTGTGACGTCACAATGTTAGTTTTTGCTCATTGCAGCATACAGAGATATAATAATTAGTACAGTGTTTTGAGTTTTTATCTAGTAAATTCTGTTGGCATTGTTAAATAATCAAAAATGTTAAAACTCAAAAGTTATCGCTCTTGTTTTGTACCATTATGTACAAATACTACAAAAACAACTCCTGAAAAAATGTTTTTAAATGTTCCACAAGACGAAAAACATCGAAAAAAATGGTTTCAAGCAGTGCTCCGAGATTATTCAAAAACAAAATCAAATTTTTTTTGTTGTGAAAATCATTTCGACGTAAGTATTATAATAATATAATCATAATAATATTGTTATTAATTATTTTATATCTAAGAGTATAAATCGAATAAGTATAGTTCAGTAATTAATTTTTTTACCTGGGCTCCAAATCATAACCTTTAGAATCGTAGCATTAAAAAATGTTTAATTGATAATTTAAAGCTATTGAATAGTAAATCTATATGTATGTTTGTCTAATAATTGGAATTCAATTAATAGATATTTTCATAATTTTATAACATTCTAGGTTCTGTATCAGACTACATTTAAATTTTTAAAGTATATGTTATTTTGGTTTTTTATAATGTTATAATAACATTTTATTAATTCTTCTTTTATTATTCTTCTTCTTAATTTTTAATTGATAGTTAGAGTAACTGAGTAAGCTTTACTCCGAACTCGGTGTTCTGGACACACACGTCCTTTTAAAACACAAATACCATTCTTACGATTAAGTTGACCATAACCTATAGCTTTATCACCGTAACTCTCACGTGATGCTCTACAATTAATGAAATAATTATTAATTATATTTAATAGAAAATAAATACTTATTTTCATTTAGAATGGTATTTTTAACAGATTTACCTTGACGCCTTAGCACCTCGAACTTCAGCAGAATTAAATAGGACGTCATTTTAAAAAAAATTAGTTATAAATATTAAATATATCAACATCAGGAATATTATCCGATTTTGCTTTTATAAATCCTTTATCACACATAGTTAGTCGAAATAAACTTTTCAAATCGTTTTTCACTAATAAATTTGAGATATTTTTATCAAGTCAAAAATAATAGCCATAAACACTGTACTATTATGAAATTGCTTTAACATTATGACGTCACAAGTATGCCGACCAATCATGGCGCGTTTACAGTCACGTGATTTGTTTTTGAATTTTATAAATTTTTAATTGTTTATAATTAATTAAAAAAAATGTTTTCAAGTTTTTTGCATTAAAAATCAATATAATTAATAATAAAGTTTTAAAATACATAAAAAAAATCAATACTTTTTTTTTTTTCAAAATCCCAATTATAGCAGTAGTATATTTCAATAACCATTTTATATGTCATAATAATATATAAAATTATTACCGACAAAGTTTCCGGAGGGTGCAAAAGCAACGCTCATTACCCAAGCCGACCTTAACGGTATAACTTGAACTTTGTTACCACTCCATGTATCCCATATAATTAGTTTACCATCAAGCGACCCAGTGACGCAGTGTCTGAAGGGAAATGAAAAAGTAAACACTTAATATTATTATATAACGTACACTTTATATTATATTGTAATTTAATTAATTAACCACTAGTTTAAATTAAATTATAAGCCTATAATGAACATTGGTGAAACTGAAAATATACGAGTATGCTTATATAACAATGTTTCCATTGTTTTTACTAGAAAGGCTTTGTCGAAAATGTTTATAAGTACATATGTAAGTACAGTTACAACTCGATTTCGAAATCGAAATGTATTTCTAATTTTTAGCAAAGCCTGAGAAATGTAAATTAACTAGAAATAAACGTCCATTTCAAATATCCGTCAATATGTATTTACAATTTCTGTTAGCATATGACATTAAAAGCGAAATAACCTAAAATGCATGTAGAAAATTAGATTTTCCGAGCTAAATTAACAGAAGTGAGGTGTTGATGCAGAATATATTGCCAATAATTTTAATGGAGTATTCGTATATACGAATAAACAACTTCAATATTTACATATGTAGCAAATTTTACATTATAGGAATTGAAGAATTAATGATGTAGAGAAAATGTATTTATTTTTCGATGATATATTGATTTAGCGTGGAGTAAAATATTACCAATTACGGCAAATATTTTTATAAGTTTAAACCAATTCTACTTTTCTTGATTTTTCATTTTATCGATATTTGAATTAATTTATTTAATGTAATGAATGTAAAAATTCCTTTATAGAATGTAGCTCGGAACATATTGAACTTCTCATTTTATTTAACTTAGGCTTCAACCCAAAGAAATTTTTCATGTAAATTTAGTATGAACTTTCACATGAAAACTTCAAAAAAATTTATTTCTATTAACTCACCTGAAAGTTGATTTCACTTTACTTAAAATTATTAAAGCAAAATTACTTATACTTCACATTGCCTACTTAGCGTCTTCCCTTCTTCTTTTTTAGTTTTTTAAGACTTTTTACTGCAAGAAATATGTACGAAATTATATGAAATCATTACCTTGAATCCCCGCTGTAGTGCACGGAATTAACTTTATTGATATGTCCCTTCAAACTCTTCTTAACCAGTAGACGTATTTTTGGGACGTCACCCATATCCCCACATTTTTCAGCAAGCTTGGCATCCGCACCTTTTTCTTGCTCCGCCTACGTCAAATTTTTGTTTTTTTAATTGGGATTACAAAGTACTTTAAGTTGATTTTTAACAAAGGAGACAAAAGTGTGTTTGAGGTTATATACAGTAACTTTGTCTATTCCTTTTCGTTCTTGCGGTTGCCAATTTTAGCCTTTGTATGAAAAATAAGTGTGTTTTTTTTAAATATTATCAACAAATGTTATATTTAAATAACCTAAAAAGATGCAAGAGAACGACAGTAAAACACGATTCGACTGAAAGACTGTAACAAATTGAGATAGGTTATCAACAAAATTGTAAGACGAATATCTAAATGGCTACGAAATTGTAGACTACTTTATAGGAGCAGTAACAAGAGAATGAAGTTCAAAATGTTCTTATCTTCAGGAGGTACAGTCTGATTATGTGAAAGACGAGAGCCAATCCTTTATTATATCTAACGTTCGCCGTAATGATGAAACTTAAACTGAATCTCGGTTGCGTTTGAATTATTACAAGATTTATAAGATTAATTTAAAAACTAACCTAAGAAAAAATGTATTATGTTTAGGAAATAGACTGCAATTCTAAAAATTAATCTGCTGCGTAAAATAAACAATTTAAATAAAACATCTTTCATCCAAGTGATTACAGCAAAATATATTGTAAATTTTTGTTTCTTTTGCGAACTATTCTTACTATTGTAACTATATAAACAATTTGGAATTTTCGGATTTGTAATTTAAAGTGTAGAATTGTACTTTATCTTTTAACAATTTAAAAACATAAATTTACTATAAATTTTAATGTAAACTGTTTACCAGTATGCATAAAACATTTCACTGTGAATACTTTCATTAAAACAGCTTTTCACGTTTATTTAAATATTGGAACAGCGCTCTTATTAATTTAACAGTAACGTAAAATATTTATCTCAGCTTTATAGTAAAAATGAAATAGCTTTAAAGTAGAAATGAAAAATATTTCCAAAGACATACAACAATTTTAATGTGTAACAACCTGTATTTAATCGAGTTATTATTGTTTAAAAAAATATTATTACCTATAATATATTTGTTATGGAACAGTGGGCATAAAGAAATAATAGCAAATAAAATGGTAATAAGCAATTATTAAAAAGTTTGTATCTTTTAACTAATAAACTAATAATCATTATGTTAGATAAATTTTAAATACAATAAACAGACTGCCGACGGAATAACACTGAAAATTCATCACGTATTTTACATAAAAGTCGAAGTTGTTCACCGAACTAATTATTTCTCGGATATTAAATATGGCTGACAGATTAAGTACTACAACGCTATAATTAATAAAAACAACATAATATTCAAACCACAGTCGATTTTATAATATATTGTACCACAATTTATTTGTTTTATTCTTACAAATAATGTTAAAATATTTTGAAACGCAAGTATAATTTTACAATATGCAATAAATCAGCGCACAGCAGAATAAGGAATTACAAAATGACTATAATTACCTTGCATTTTGCAATCAAGTCGTTTAGTTCCTTTTTGAGAGCTGTAGTCTCTGCATCGTCTTTGGGCATTTTAGAGATGTATCAAAACAAGTTACCTGTCAGAGTGTACCAGAACGTTTGGACTGTAACACTAGCAGACCACGTTTAATAAAATTAGTGTAATTGGATTGAAATTTAGCTGTGAAGCTCTATAGATGTTGTACCGCTTATTTGCTTTGGTTTGTATAGCTATTTATTTTTAAGGTGGAATAATATAGAATGTTGTTTTGATACTACAATTTGCTTTAAGATAGGACACTTCATATTCATGACGAATAAATAAAATATACTTGTAGCATTGCTCATGTCGTCACAGGCGACACAAAGGTAACAAATTTTCGTCTTCTATTTCACCTCTTTGACAGATATAAGAATAGATATTCAAAGATACTCAAAGATTTATTTCAATACCTTTGAATAAAATTCAATTTATGCACCTTTTAAAATATAAAGTAATTCTTAGATATTCTCATAAAATTTTCAAACATTTTCTGCCATTTGCTTTCTAATATTAATAATGCACCGGAATTATTTTAAATTCGCAAAATGTAATGGAACCTGCTTTTTAATTAATATGTTCCATTACTTTTTTGATAACTCTTGTATTAATCTATCTAAATATATCGATATAACATGATAAAACATTAATATTTATATAATTTTTAAATAAAATATTTAAAGTTTATATTTCCACTCGACTGAACTGATATGTATTATCTTTTCTAGACGTATAAAAACTGTTTACCGAGTTATTTTGTCCTTGGAATTATTTTAGTAACACATTTATGTTAATATTCCCATTAGGACATTATTTCTTTGAAACAAAATTTCTATCCCATATGGGTAAAGACTTATACAAAAATATGGGATTGGTTTAGTAGATAATAAAAATGAATTTAACTTAACTATATGTAATTTTTTTCTTGAAACAATTTTAATCATGGTACCACGTTCGTTCGAGTATTCTGGGTACAAAACAATCCGTTTTAAACATATTATGTCTTAAGTGGCTTAAGATAATGCAATAGGAAGGTTGGAAGCTGATATAGAAGTTGCGTCATTGTAACTAACATAGGTCTATACCATTTAATTAATCCGAATCCACTGGTCAAACCATCCTGCAGAATAAAATTTGAAATTAAATAAGTTAAATGTGCTAGAATTGTAGCAGCGTCATGAATGCCTGAAAAATACCTGTAGAGAAATGAGATTTAATTAAAAATATTTTCGCATTGTTGATAACATAGAAAACCGCTTCAGTCATATAATAAAATACTTTACGTGAAGCCAGATTAGAAACTACATATAAATAAATCATAATATTAAAAGTGCTTTAATATGAATTCCTTTTAAAGTATGTCAGTATTTTTTTTCTTAATTTTAATTTGACAAGTAACAAAACAAACAATCAAAGAAGATCATAAAGTCAACTTTGGAAGATATAAATTAGTTGTATGCAATATAAGTATTTTGAAATCTTTCATTTTAAACTAAGTACATTGTTCGGCTTCGACACTCAGTCATGATTTTAGTGGCCAAATTTTTGTTTCTGACAGGTCGTCTTTTGCGGTGCTGAACTTCTAAAGTCCAACTGTAATTTTTATTTTTATAGGTAGAGCCTAGCAGTAGTTTAGTTACTATAGCTCGAACATGGGCTGGTTCGACCGGGGAAGTACCACCCTCTCACAGAAGATCGGCGTGAAGTGGTCAGTAATGACCGCGTTTCGTCCGGTGAGTGAGAGTGCCGGTTACCCTTTCCCTGTTCCCAACCTTTCCTTGTATTTCCTTATTCCCATCTCTCCCTTTTCCTCCACAAGTAAGGTTGGCAACGCATCCGCAACATCTATGTTGCGGATGTCCATGGGTGGCGGTCAATACTGATCATCAAGAGGGCCGTCTGCTCGTTTGCCACTTTTTACATAAAAAAAAGTAATATGTAAAGCATGATTTCACTATCACACTACCTGTGTTTCGTTCGTTACTTTATATTTTAAAGTAACAAACGAGAAGAAACCTTCTTCAAAAAGGATTCAATCACACATGATAAGTGAACCAAAAGGAAACTGAGTCAATTTATAAAACCAACATATCATTTCTGTACAATACTCGTTTGTTTGTGACTTCTATGTCACATTTTGTACAAACTTAGAACAGAACCGGAACATGTGCTATGGAGCATATAGAAACGTTAAAAATAGATAAACATTTAAAAAGATAATTTCAAACAATTGGACATGGCTTAACATTACATCCGTTTTGACAAACAACAATTATTATTTTCTTGCGATAAAATATATGAATTTGCTAGAATTAATCCATAAGGCTCATGAAATTAAGGATACATATAATCTCGTCTTAAATGTCTAGGAATTAAGTAAGAGCTGAAAAACCTTAATATACTAAAAAAATATGTTCGTTACAACATTATAAAACCATAAGATACAGTCAGCGCGATCTTCGTATATCGAGAACAGTACGTGAGAAAATTAAGAAATCGTTGGCGGCACATGAAAAAACAACAATGACTTTCTTCTCGTCGTCCCGATGTCACGGTTGCTGTAAAGCAACGGAAATGTCGAATAAAATAAAGAATAATAAACGAGAATCATTTCTTAATACGATAATTTTATTTTATATTAAATTAAACTCTTAATAATAATTCGAAAGGAATCCAAAACATCAAAATAATGTAAAAGTATATTATAAAGTATATAGTAATCATATGTTTTTTTAGTTCATTCATTATTGAGTATAAACAAATTTTACATCTCTAAAGATTCGTTTTGAATCCTCTAAAAATACTCTACAAAATACACTCTTAAAAAATCTACGAATTTGATGGCATTCAGATATGATTTTCGTATTATTACGTACATACATCTGAAAAGCCTTCGACAGTATTTCAAAGTTTCGAAATCACTAAGGAAGTTGGTTGAATAAATAGCGTCATAGCCCATCCCTTATCGGTTGAAACCAGGGCGCTTTATAAGCTGTTAAGTCTGGGCTTGGAATTGAAGTAGATTGTCTCAATCGGGCGATCATCCATAATATACAAAATATTTTATTTAGTTATGTAGTTCATAGTTGTTAAAGGTTAACTGCCTAAACAAATGACAAAACTATAAAAAAAAATCATTCACTTTTGTAGAACAGAATCGAATTAATTAAACGTCTTAATAATTAAATTTCATAGCAGCCCAAGTGCACCTTGTAGGAATTCAATTTAAATGTCAGAATAATTGTAAAATCCTTAAGAGAATAACTGTAAAGTAAGATCCATTTGAAGTATCTCTGGCTCTTTTGCGATTTCTCTGAGCATAGCATACTAAAGCGACGACCTTAAAACATTGTTATTAGGTAACTCACAAAATACCTGAGTTTTAGTCGAGTTTAAGTCAAATACAAAGGAATTCCTCGTTCTTACGTTACAGTATTTTAGAGAAATAAAGATGGACGTTCAAAGAAACAATAGCACTTTGAGAAAAAAATTCATAGTTTACGAACATTATCTTACTGAGCATGTGTTTTGGGCAACCCAAGCTATCGGTAATAGTCTTTTAAATAAAGACATAAAAGTAAACAAATTATGGAGGCTAGATCATATCTTTAGTAGCACTTGCACCACACTACTACTTTGTCTTCATGTATATTCTCTTTAAACAAACGGTCGTTACAACAAGAAATGTCTAATAAGTGATATCATTTTGGTTACTTCAATAAATTTATAAATAATAACTACCACATCCATGGTTTCTTAGGGACCTGGGAATATAGCAATGATCTACTTTAAAGTAGCTTATATAGCCATTTTAGAAAAGTATTGCAACGTGATTGAGTTGCGAGAGAAATCTGTTTAGACTATCCATTTGGTGCAGGAAATTTTCTTGGTTTCCTCGCCAAAGTGTGCGGAAACATCAAGCAGCGTACCAGGCCAATTTTATAAATTTATAACAAAACAGCTTATCAACTCAATATAAAGTTATTCACATAAACGGTATACGAGAAGTCGTAAATATAAAAATTGTTATTTGTGTTTTTGAACTACCGTACTGTTCTTCTATCTTTTGATGTTTTAAATCTTAAAAGAGTTCAATAGACCCGCTGACAATGTAATAAGATTGGTTTACTTGAACTAATAAATTCTCACTCGAGCGTATCGTTCGACAAACTAGCTTTCACTCAATCAAATTTCAATTTCCTTACTTTTTAATAAGAGATTTGTGTGGATTGGTTAAGTAGTGACTTTAAGTTATAGAATTAGTTTTAAATTAACTATAAATGTGTCAACTAATACAAAATTACTTAATAAAAAAATATTCTAACAAACATTAACGCCCTGACTGAATTATCACTTAATAGTCTGATGGAAGTAGTTGTTAACTATATCAATACAAGCATTAATTAGACACGCATTGGCAAATTCCTAGCCTGTATTAGCTTTGATAAGATATAGTAGCGTCCATATTACGTAGCAAACATAAGTCACATACCAAACCTGTATCACCAACACGTTATTAGACATTCAGTACAGATATTGTGAGTATACTGTTAACGAATCCATTGTTAATTATTTATTTAATTTAGAAAATATTTGTGTGAAGGATTGAGTGTGGAAAATTGGCAAAGTATTTAACATCACCGTTATTGGTCCTTGGTGGAAAACATGTTTATATTTAAAGTGCCACTATTATTATTATGACCAATAATTTTATAATTAGTTTTTCTCGCCCTCGATTTGATACTTACTAATGGTTTAAATCATTTTCGTCGTCTAATATTTCTGATTGGAAGTTTTTGTTCAACTTTCATTTAACAGCTACCTTTTTATCGCAATATTAAGCGCTTTCACCGCCTAACAATAGTCAATGTTATTGACAACCTCGGTTAAGTGACTAGTCTTACCAAGAACTGCCAAAAAGTAAGATGCTTGGACCTCGTTGCGTCTTCTTTATTCAAGCCCTTTTGATAATTTTACAACCGATTGCTGCTATATTTGAAAATAATTGTGTCAACAAAAATAATCAAGAGCAATGCTGCATGAAAGGAGAGAACAACAAAAGAGGTAAAAAGTAGTTACAGAATATTATTATATACCATTTATATGTTATTATATGTATATTTCACTTTTCAAATACTTCTATTGGCTTTGCAATTTTGCTATGAGTGATATAAGTGAAGCGAAAATAATTAGCTTTATTATATTAATAACGCAAAACAAGATACATATTTAATGTTGTACAAAACCATATATTCTTAGTGGATATAAAGTGGTATTGCAACAGTTACGTCAACAAACTTTGTACATTTTAAGCTCCTTTGTGGTAGTCTCATTAAATCAAAATCAATAATGCATTAAGAGTTCCACGTATTGTATGATCTTATACTGTAAGACAATAACAATCTTTTGTATTTATTGAAAAATACTTTATAACAACGTAGCGTCTTTTGATGTCATTATGTCAGTTACTTTTGTTTTGTCTATTTTTCTTTGCTGTCACATATTACGGGTGAAAATTAGAAACATAAGGTTATGTTTAACGGCTTTGGTTTTGTAAAGATTGGGATACATAACCATTGTGTTTAGAGGATTCAAAGTTTCACAGAAAGTTTTATAAATAATAATCCTAAACGAACGCTTCTCATCGAATATAAATGAATTAAAATTCAAAAGCGATTCTTGATTTTCTCATACATTTTTTTTAAAGATATAAATCTATGTAGAAATTTAACGTAAAATCATTTACTTTTTAGTTAATATTTATGAAAACGGTTTATGTATGTATGTTTATTTTCTAATGTTTTAAATTTAAGACTACATGAGGGTTTCCTCCTTCATGACTTAAGAACTGAATATTAAATTTATCACAATATATTATTCAGGTTCATATAAAAACGTATGTTATGTTCGTCTTCAGCCTATCGGAGCCCACTACTGAGCAAAGGCCGCTTTCTCACATGGAGAAGGTTTGAGCATTAATAACCACGCTTGCTCAAGACGGGTTGGTGATTTCAAACTTATAATTGTGAAATTATATGTCCAGGTTTCCTCACCATGTTTTCCTTCACCGTCTGTTTTTAACATCGATTGGATATGTTTGACTTCATGATCTTAGAAAGTACATATGACTCGGAAAAATCACATTGGTCATTGCCAGCATCGAACCCGCGCCCTCATGCACTGACTTATATATTACTTATATATTATGTTCAGAGTCAGTGTGATGTCATATAATAGAACTAGTGTATCTCCAAGGAAACCTTTTATTTGAAGTCCGTTTAGCAACACAATGACTTCTAAATAATGGAGTTTAAGTCTAAAAAGGTAACATAACCTATTATAGAGGATACAGAACATTTCTAACTTTCTTATTACCGTCCTTGCTTAAGTCCTATTCTTGAGTTTGAAATCGGCTTACCAACTGTACTTACTGCTGATAGAAATTTTAATTCCCACAAATTAAATTCTTTAAAATGATAGCGTATTGATATAAAATCTATTTTCTATTAAACTTTCATTACTTTAGATAAGTTAAAGTTTTGTATGGATTTTAAAAAACTAAGAAACTCAGGTACTTTTTCTAAAATGAGTTAGAGTAGTGACTTGTTGTACTTGTTTATTGATGACTTAATTTTATATATTTAATATTCTTGAAAGCCTAAAAATCATTATGCAATAAAATGATTACTCCCTACTTACAACCATATGTTTTTCCAACATTTTCATACTAAAATATTACTTAAAACTGTACCGTAAATTAAAAATTGACAATATATTTTTAAATTCTTTAAAACTTTAAATAAACAGTTAATTACATTACAACTTTCTAGTTTATTTTAAATGTAGATTTGGTTTTTTAAAATAAACTTATCATAGCAAAGAGGACGCGTGTTTCACATGGAATTGCAAAATTTTTTAAACTTTTGATTTGTTTTTACATTTCATAACAGTTTTCTCACTAATGTAATAAATTAGATAGTTTGTATATGCTTATAAATTAGATAGTTTGTGTGTGCGCAAGCATCTGTACGTGTATGAGTAAACATGTATGGGTTTTATTTTTTTCCTTTTTAGCCTGGAATAAGTTTATTGTCTGATAAAAATATATCTTAATGATTATTTACTTCGTACATTTCAAACAATGAGATATTGCAAATACAAAAAATGACTAAATATACTGTTACTTTAAATGTTTATTAAAACTAAACAGTTTCCCATAAAGAATCACAGTAAGACTTTATAAATTTCAATTATGTTTAAAAATAAAACAAGGCTTTAAGGCGAACAGTTTTTTAAATTGTAAATAAAGATTATTTCTCGGTATTACGTAATGCAGTATTGGGTAGTTATATTAAACGTATTATTTAATCATTGTATGAAGCTCCAAGTGGAAATTTTATTGTTACTACATTTTAATTATAAATGTAAAATAAACAATAAATTGTGCAGTTAAATTTTATCTCCACGAGTATGTATCACGTCAAAGAAAGTATTAAGTTGAAGTAGTGTATAAGTGGTCAATTTGCGATGCATCATTTAGATTGGTTTGTGTGTGAGGTTCTTTAATTAATCATTAGAAAACAAGGACGGAAAAAAATAATTTACACTAGAGGACAATTATCTAATTACTATTAAAAATAAAAATGCTGATAGAAAATTAGAAGCATTACAGTTATTTTAGAAATTAGTGATTGGTACTTGGAACCTTGCGGAATATCGCACTTCAGTTGATTTGTTATTTCATCTATTCTGCCCTGTATAAGTTTCATATGTGTTACTAATTCCAAAAACATATTTTTAGTACATTGTGGTATAAGTTAATAAGGCGTTAAGAGTATGAAAGAATAAGAAAGTTTTCTTTTCTTTTAATTTTTTCATTGTAGAGCGTTGAAAACGAGCAAACGATTTAAATCAATAAATTCATTGAATTATTTTTAAAAATATTGTGATACATCATCGCTTACTTGTTAAGAAACAATCAAATTTGACAATCAAATTTATAAACGAGTAGAAAGTCATTACAATTTCCAAAAGACGTATCAACTAAAATAAATATAAAAATTGGCCAGACCATCAATTGACTGATTGATTTACTTAATAAATCTATTTGATTAAAAATACGTCACCCTCCTATTCCGTTTGCTAAATGTATTAACCTGTTTTTTAATCCCCCATGTTTTCATTCCATTCTTATAATGCGCTTAAATCGTAATAAAAATAAAAATACTCTCGTTAAAATTATGATTAATAAAACATAAATTATGATCGAATAATATTAAATAAGACCATTGAATATCATTCCTTATTCAGAACTAGGACAACTAAACAAAGTTTAATGTCAGAACTGTTAAGTGTCTAGAAAACTATCTCTATACACCCACCAGGTACGTCGTAGCAGATAGACCCTGACATATTAATGTTGTAAATAGACAAAAAATCTTCCAATAATAAGAAGATATATTTAAGATTTTCTAGGGAGATACTAAATTTGAGTATTTCAGCATTGTAATATTTAAAGAAAAGATCTTATCTATAAGGTTCTTAATTGTTTGTGAATATTTATAATTTGTACAGTATTACTCTCTTGTTAGTTTTATCTTATTTTTGATAAAATAGCTTGATAACAATGTGACATTTAACGAATAAAAATTTTGTACAACATACAATCTCAATGATTTCGACAAATTTTAAATCTTTTTTTATGTAAGCAAATTTAATTATTTTTTTTTACTTCATGTAACAAAGAACGTATTAGTTATTTAATCAATCTAATATATTTGATCTTCATCATAAGCCCGAATCTGTTAAGTGCTGAAAGCTCTTTTATAATATTAGATTTTTAATACAATTTTACAAAAATAGAAAAATAAAAATTGAAAGAAACAAATGAAATATATCTGAAGGTAGTAACTATGTCCATATACATACTATATTGATCCGATCCTATTTTAAAATATGACAATAAATACACATAACGTTAGTACATACAAAGTGCGATATGCGCACAAGACAACTTAGTGCTTAAAATCAGTCCGTCAGTTGCTAGCCTGGCGGGTCTAGTACTAGTGCTTGCAGTCGAACGATAGTCATCCGGCCGGCAAGATGTTGCGACTGCAGCTCATGATGCCTATTATGAACTTTTGCTGGGCTTTAGCCATCATTTTTATCCTTCAAATGCACAATATCACTTCCGAGAAATACTACGTTGAATACAGCAACAGGTACTGCGTAGAACGCAACGTCTTCGATGAAGGTAAGTTTAAATTTTTAGCGCCCTATTCCTAAGTTCTTTTAGAACTTTGTTCTTGTGTAAAGCGATGCAATTGAAAAATCTTTAACAACAGTTTGATTAACTTTACAACGGATTTTTTCGTAAATATATTTAAAATAATTTATTTAGATTTTTCTTACTTATTTTTTTTTTATTGATTTTTATTATGAAACTGCTCTTACGTTTATCAAAAGATTTATTTAAGCAAACAAGATTTATTTACTGATTATTAATATTACAACTTTTAATTATTCTTTAATAAATCAATCACATTATTTTATTACGATTTTTTAATTTCATGACAACCTTATAGTTTTCCATTACTGCATTTTAAATATAAAAATTAGTTTGGAAAATGGCAATAAAAAAGTGACTACACAAAAGCGAATTCAGTGGATTCAAATACCTTTTGCTTTATTATTTTCAACAAAATAAAGCCTATTATGATTTCATTCATATAGTACGGGCTGTATAGAAAAGTTATTTTTAATTTAAAAGTTACAATTTTTAAGCGATTATAGTTTTTAAAGTAAATTATACCAGAAATCAAAAGCTCATTTTTAAACTAGCAGTCCACTTGTCTTTACTACGACACTGGTCATTCTTTTGAAACTTTATTTTTCTCAAGAGGGTTGCATGAAGGTATGAATTTTTAAATTGTCTTGGATTCAGTGTTGTTCTTGAAATTGTCAAAATCAATTGACTTAATATCCGACAATATCGATTCTTGGTTTAATCGCTAAAGTGCGATCACATTTCAAATTACCTAATGTACAGACAGACTGGCGAACATACTATACACTATATATACTATTTTGAATCGGTCAGCTTAAAAGAGATTACAATCAATATCCAATACCGAGAATTATAAAAATATATTTTGATTAGTTCTTGAAAAAGATTCAACTTATTATTATAATAATATAAAAGTTATTATAATTACATTATTCCAGAAACACAATCATTTGCTTTTCTAAGAGTGCATTCAATAATATTTTAATATATGTAGGTGTCCTTATTTCTGAAACATTGTATAATATCATCAGGCGTTTGTGAATTCAATGATTTTGATCAAAAAGTTTTATAATATATTTACCATAGTTAACAATTTGGAATATACAAATCATTGGTTTCCTTTGCAATTCTGTATATCAAAGTAATTAACAATTTATTTTTTGCCCAAAAAAAAACTATCATTATATACTTTACAATGGGTCATATAGTCATTTTAAATGTTTGAATAGTTTTTATAGCCGAGCATATTAAAATATAGACGTTCCACTTTAACGCAGCTTCCGATGAAGCAGTTTTAATCAATGAAGTGTCAATTAATTCGTTTCAAAGTGTATATAAAGTTATAATAGTCGTTTACTTTATATAAAGGATATTCATAAACATACTGCGGAGATAGACAATACATAAGTTTTTTTCATAATTTCGTAGAATATTCCTAAAATATATTAAATCCTAGAAACTGAAGTCTTTATATGAAAAAAAACAAAATTAAATTAAAAACTAGAAGTAGATTTAATAAAAATATATACATTGCACAAAAGAAAAAAAAAGATATAAACCTAATAAGTGTCTTTAAACTTTTTTAGGATTAAATATCGCGTAAGTCCTGCAATAATTAATTTTCATTGCTCTTAATTTTTTTTGTATTATAGAAAATTGCTTATATAAATCATATACGATAAGAAATTTCGCAATATATTATTTAATCTCAATATATTATTTATTCGGTGTACTTACCTGTGTGCATAAATTTATTGAGGAAAATTGAAATTTAGTTATTATTTTAATTGAATCTAGCAGATTCATAATTAATATGTTATGAGCTCAATGTTCTCATGTGCGCTTACCTATACTATTTCCTTTAACCAAACCTTTTGAAGGATTACGATCAAATTTAATTCACGTATAGATTACATCCCCTAATAATTTGTTATATGAATATAATACAAGATGTACAAAGATGTATATCGGGATGCAATATCTAGTCGCGTCCATTTTGTCAAAGGAAACGTAGTAATCACATCTATGTAATACCTTTGAAGATTTAGTTTGATAGGTAATCCGCATTGATCAAAGGAGTTAACGTGAAGTCTGTAACATTTCTCATTTTATTTTTATTTTAATATAAAATGTATCTTATATTTTCTAAGAATATGCATATTTTTAACATCAATTGGTATTTAGATTTGAATTTAAGATGCAGTAAGGTTGAACGGTTTAAATGAATTTGACTTTTGCAAAACAAACCTGAGACAAAATCAAATGAAGAATCACTGTAATTAACTAATTATAAAAAAATAAAACCAGTGTGCTTTAGATCACACTACTGTAGTTAAACTTATTTCGGTCCATCTATATTAATATTATGTATATGAATATGTTTATATATGTATAACACAGACATGTATATACATAGACACATAATTTTGTACAAATATTTGAATTCATTGTGGGTTATCCCATATCTATTTAAAAATATTAAATTATTAATATAAATTAATATTTTAAAATAGATATTTATTATTTTCATCGCATAAATCAGTTTTTAGTGTGGTTGATTGCAAGACAAAAACAATATTCATATGATATGAGAAATATATGTATATGATACATATGTTTTCGGGTAAAGATTAGAAAGATATCTAGAGAAAACGAAATACTAAATGAGATATTGCATGCGCTGGCTACGAAAGGGAGCGAGAAAGAAGATGTGCGCACTCGGCTCTCTCCCGTACCCCTACAGTAATATAGGAAATGTAACACTCTCTATCTAACTTCACAAACATATACTCCCTCTCAATTTCGTTCGCCTCACCCGATCACACTTTTCGTAACGCTTTCATTTATCAGCTTACTAGTCAAGCGTGCGTAAAGAAGAGTTACTTTAATAAAGCTGTGTTCGTGGTATTACGTGAATGTTTTGTTAGACTAGTAAGACACAATTAGAAAAATAATTAAATAAAAAATGTAACGCTTTTATAATGAAAACCAATAAACTTAAAATCAAAAACTCCTTACGCAACATAACATTAATGGATTCATAAAATAAAATTCTAAGTGAATAATTTATGTGAAGGCCTCTACACCCATATTAAGAAAGCTTGTCAAATACAATAATGTAAATTGAAAACGGTAAACCGGTGGTCTAATGCCGTAAGCATTTCCATTTCATTTTCCCAGCTGCTATTAATTTTTCTCATTTTCCATCCAACTATCCTACTTATTATATAAAGTGAATTTATATTTCATTGTCTGTTGGTCAGCGATTGCATATCTTAACTGTAGCATTTTAAAACCTAAATAAACGCATCAGGTGGAACATCACTTAAGAAGTTTATTTAACAACATTCCTTCTGCACATTGACGGATGAATGTAATTGTTTAAATCCTATACTGAAGTATAGGATTTGATGTCTATTTAATTGTTTCTGAAAAGTTCATATAACAAAAAAAAAAACATTAAATGATAGAAATTGTAACTCCATGATAAACGGTGGCGTAGTTAGGGTTTTTTAGACTTGCTTTTTGTTGATACATATTTTAGACATCCCCAGCTGAAATGATCGAGGATTGAATTAAGTAATGACTTAGTGAGAGAATTTAATAATTTGTATTAAATGGATGTATCAAGAGATCACCTAATCAATATTATTATGTGTATAAAATAAGTTTCTTATGCCTAAATCATATAATTTGTATAAAGTGTATAATAACGCGGACCTCATTAAAAAATTACATTGAAATTTACCTTAGTACGTATCTATTGTTATGAAATTAAATTCTTGTATGTTCTTAAAAAAGGGAGTTAACTCAGGGCTTATTCACTGAAATGTAGGACAAAAAAGTTATAAGTTATGATTTTTTTTCAATTAAAACACAGAATCTGTGTCAGTGTTCAAGTTTATAAACAAATAGAATTACAAACAAGATTTTTTTTCACAAATAAAATAATATTTTTTGTTTTACTTGTATTGCATTACATAAATTAATTATACTAACATGGATAATGAATAGAAACTATTCCCTAAATCCGTACGCGAGTATGAATAGATTTCGTGGTATATTGAAAACGTAACGAATAGGCTTACGCTAGCCAGATAGCTTTCAGATTAGGGGAGCGTTCGAAATGCATTACATAAATAGTATTAACTCGTTTATGTTATTACAGAGATGAAACACAGACTACTCTATATTAAACACTGAGTATAAATGGTGGTTATTGTTTGATACGTTCGAGCACAAGGAATAAATATCTGATATTTTAATGATCTCATAAAGTTGGTTGCTCTTACTTAAACATAATAGACGCTAGTACCTTTAAACATGTTTGTTTATTTAGTAACTCCTTTAATTAGTGTCTTGGGAAATAGGCTAAAGACTACTAAGATATTATTTGAAATGAAGGTTTTTTTGTGACTTCATCATTAGAAACAAATATAATTGAATAAAGTTTTTAGATTGATCACTGTAATTATAATAAATGAAATGATTACGTGCGAGCTTTGTTGAATATAATCGTATTTGCGAACAAATGTGCAATGAATTTTTAGATTTCACATAAATCTTAAGTAATTATCAAGTGACTTACATTGTAATTCAATAAAATTATAAAATACGGAATCCATTTTCACTCTGTATTCTATTTAAGACTGACTATTTATTTCAATAGGCAATCAAATAATGTTTTCTATATCGATTCCAACTGAACTGGACAGAACAATGTTGAAATTGTGCACTTCTCTTAAATATGCATAATTTTGTGCACTTCTCTTCAATACGGATAACTAATTTTTGTAGGTGGTAATGCTTAGCTGTGGCCAAGTTACTATAGGTTGAACCATTTTCTCACAGAAGATCGGCGTATAGTTTAGTAGTCTGTAATACCTACGTTTCGTCAAAGGAGTGTAAGAGCCGGTTGTCATTTCCCTTTTCCCACCCTTTATTCTATCCCTTTTCCTACTTCTTTC